GCTATTTCTGAAAAATGTATGGAAACATCATGGAACACCGAAGAAAGTGATCTCAGATAGAGGAACTCAGTTCATATCAAAGTTCATGGGACAAATGTCAAAAAGATTAGGAACGAAATGGTCTGCGTCGACCTCCTATCACCCTAGAACCGATGGACAGACTGAACGCGTAAACCAAGAAGTCGAACAATATTTGCGCATGTTCACGTCATACAGACAGAATGATTGGGTATCTTGGCTGCCGATAGCAGAGTTTTCACATAACAATGCAGTCACAGTAACCGGTCACAGTCCGTTTAAAGTTCTCTATGGGTATAACCCAGATTTCACGATTCATCCAAACTCTATGTCCGTAATTCCCGCCGCCGATGAGAGAGTTGATCAAATGAAAGAAGCGAGAGATGATGCCGAAAATACTCTGAAAATGGTCAATGAGCGCATGAAGCGTTTCTACGACAAAGGAGTAAAAGAAGCACCTCAGTATAAGATAGGAGACAAGGTCTGGCTTGACGCAAAAAATCTTAAACAACGTCGTCCGAGTCAAAAACTGTCAGACCGTCGTCTAGGTCCCTTCGAAATACTAGAGAAGATCGGTGAAGTGAACTACAAGTTGAAATTGCCGGAAAAATATCAGATCCACCCGGTTTTCCATGTAGAATTGCTTACGCCATATCACGCATCTCGATTGATTCCTCATCCTCCTCCCAACCGACCACCTCCAGAATTGATTGACGATCGGGAAGAATTTGCTGTAGAAGAAGTACTAGATAGCCGATTGTTCCGAGGAAAGCTGCAATACCTAGTGAAATGGGAAGGATACCCGAAGGAAGAGTCATCTTGGGAGCCAGAAGAGAAATTTGAAGAATGCCTCCAATTCCTTTAGCGGAGTTCCATAAGAAGAATCCCACAGCCGCAGCCGGAAAATACCGAAGAATCAAAGGCTCAGTACTTTTTACGGAAGATTTCAAACGATGGAGAGAAAAGAATATCCGACCTTCATTCGTTCGTGATGACACTCACCTTAGAGAGGGGGTAATGTCACGAGTACCTTTAACAAATCATTATTCTTTCCTGAATCTTCCTAAGCGCCAATACACAGCGCCTAAGTCAAACCCTAACCCTACCTTGAAAGCGTCTATCATCCCCGAAATACCTTTAGCGCCTACAACACGTGTCTTCGATGTGACTGATGAAGAAGACGAGTTCTTTGATTGTGAATAGATTAGATAAGATAAGATATGGTCACGTAATGCTTCTTTAATATTCTACAATGTTCTATGGTACGATTCCTTTTCTCTTTTTATGATTGGCTAGTAGTTGTAACTCAGTTTCAATCTCCGTCTCAATAGTTGTATATAGGTAGCATGTCTTGGTCGATAGTTCCTTAGTTCAAACCTCTTGTATCTACATTGTAGCAATCCAAGACGTACTTGCTCCTCTTACTCTTTGTCCGATATCCTTGTTTGAGTCCTAGTCTTCGACCCAGCGTTAATTCGTTATTGGGTTGTGACAAATGTGTTCTTTGCATAACATGAGACATGCAAAACTCACCCACATTCTCATGCCTCACGCGCGCAACTTTCCTGCACCATGCGCATTGTTCCCACGCCTCACACGCCACAGCTGCATCACCCCTCGCATCTCTATAGTCATTGCAATAGTTATGCATCACTTGGATATCATTGCACAACTACTCCCTTGTGTTTCTGCGTAACGTGATGTGTGATACCCATGTGCATTCCCGCGCCTCGCACATCACAGCCGCATCTCCTCCACAGCTTCAGAGTCATCAGGATAGGCACACATCATTCAAGTATCATTGCATAAACACCCCCATGTGTTTCCGTTCTAATGTGACATGCAATGCCCTTGCGCATGCATTGTTCCTGCGCCTTGCCCATCACAGCCGCATCACCCACCCATTTTTATAGCTTTCAGAATAGCCACACATCACTCAAGTATCATCACGCAACCACCCCCCTCACATTCCTGCATAACACAACATGCAATGCTCATGCACATTCTCACACCTCATGTGCGCATTTTCCCATGCATCACACATACTAAGCCACACATTCCGTGCTGGCACTTCACATACCCTTCATACACATTTGCCACTCTACAACCCAAGCAACACACACACATCACATTTGCATACTATTCTGCCAATCTCATATGCAATCCTCACCACACATGCACTGAGTGGGGACACTCAGAATTTAAGTCCCCAGGAGATGTAGAGACTCATGCCTCTCATTGTGCAATATTGCACTTTACACCCACACAGCACATAGCACGAACTTGCAGCATCACTTCCTAAGTTATCCTCAGCTATTCCCATATAAGGCGCCGCTTTCCCACGCATCATGTGATGTGCACGCACCTTTCCTGCCCCACACATTGCATGTGCACATGCGCTTTCCTGCGCTTAAGCGCCCTATAAGTGCCGGCCATCCAGACACATCCATCCACTGTCCACCAAGTTCCCTAGTGCATATATTTCCATTTTGAACTTATTTACATATCATACCACCTTTATTTTATCATGGATCCTTACTCACATATAGCTTTACATACTCGGCTCAGTAGCACTTCAGCTCGGCTTTGCTGACAGCACTTAGGCGCCATACTTAAGTGCCAGCAGTAGATATCTTTAGCCAGTTTTCACTTTCCCAAGTTTTCTTTTCCCAGTAGTGGCAGTAAGAATTCATTTTCTGAGCATTGGAATAGCAACTCCCAATAAGCCTACATCACAGTAGCTATTGGCACTCTATCTCTTGCATCACATTCTCTATTACTTTGCTCTACACTTACTTTCATTGCCTCATATCTCTATCATTGCTTAAACCACTGGCGCATCGAGCATGCTTCGCTTTCCCACACATGCACACCGCTTTCCTGTGCTCGCCTCCAATGCATACCCGTGCTTTGCATTGGCCAACTAGTAGCACCTTCCGTGTGCATTTCAAGACCTTTGCTGCACTTGCTTCCCCTTTAGGATTGAACGCACTTGTCTCGCCAAGTATAGCAGACTAGGCAGCGCACCTACAACATTTATATATCAGTAAGGAGCATTGTTTGCACCTTGCTGAGTTGTACTTTCTACAATGGGTCGTCCGCTATCTTAAAGGCACACACGAGATACAGCTTGTTCTTGGCAGTGACCACACAGCACATCTCCTCACCTACACTGACAGTGACCTTGCAAGCTGCCCAGATACTCATCAATCTGTCAGTGAATACTGCTGCTCACTTGGCAGTGGCTTCATTACTTGGAGTGTGCACGAACAGAAGACAGTTTCACTATCTACCTGTGAGGCTGAGTATGTGGTAGCTTCTGAGGCTGGCAAGGAGATCAACTGGCTTTGAACCTTGCTACTCGAACTTCACTGAAGATTCCTCTTTCCACGCTCGGGTCAAACATATTGACATGGCTTATCACTCTATTTGTGAATGTGTGTCCCTATGTGAGCTCAAACTCCACTATGTTCACTCGAAAGACAATGTTGCCAATATTTTCACTAAAGCACTTGCAAAGAAGGATTACAAATGGCTTTGAAATCATCTGGGCCTCCAGTGATTCAGTTGAGGAGGAGATACACATCACATTGAGGAGGAGTGTTGATGTATGGATGTGCACATGCAACGCAACATGGAGTATGATTGTTGGTATGTGTTACAATAACATTTACTCCTATTTTCATTTTTCTTTTCTTGTAACCATGACGCCGACTCTAGGCTCGGCTATTCTCTTATCAAGCGGGCTGTCCACACTTCTCTTCTTTCTTGATTGTAACATAGATACTATCTTGTGCCGCATGGCGGTTTCACCTATCTTTGCTATCTTGATAGGTTGTACTCTTTTTCCTATCTCTGTTACTTTTCTTGTCGCGGCTACGCCGCTTCCTTTTACCTATATAAACCCCATGTACCATAGCTGTATTCCTTAACTTAATCTACTGGGTTTTCCCCTTGAAACCTGATCTACTAAGGTCTCCACCCTTAGTAGCCTGAACTCTGATTCTAAGACAGTCACTCACTGTCTTAGCCTGAAACCCTTGATTGCGGTAGAAGTGCTAAAACCACTCGCCGCTGATCCTGCATAGAAGCTGCGGCTCGTGCAGTAGGAACCACCAGAAACCTTCCTTGTATTAGGAAGGCCGACAAACTGTTCGCCTGACAGGTCTATTCTGACCGGCAACAGCAGAACTATCCCAGTCGTAACAGTATGTTGGTATTCCAACATGGATGCTTATATACTTGTCCCCTTTGTGTTCTCCCTTTCCCTCAGTCTCTTACACCAAGACAGAGGGTATGTTTTATTATCACTTACATGCCGCCTAGACACTATGGACACACGTCAATCTATTGAGATACCATTAGTGTCTAGGCGGCATGTAAGTGATAATGAAACATACCCTCAGTCTTGGTGTAAGAGACTGAGGGTATGTTTCATTATCACTTACATGCCGCCTAGACACTAACAGTATCTCAATAGATTGACGTGTGTCCAGGTATATAGCAATATAGTCTCTTACACCAGGACTGAGGATTGACATGTGTCCAGCATTTACATGTTGCAATTGCTGTTTTGCTCATTATTCATCATAGTCTCGCTTGATACTCTCGGATCAGCGCTCAGAAAATAATTCAGAGTGCCTGACTAAGCTTCTATATTTGATTTAATTAAGATGACTGTCACGCTGTCACGGGGGGGCATCTTTGAAGTTTTGGCAGTGTATGTCAAGAGGTAGGGGGAATTCAAATATCTGATATCAACCTGGACAAACTTCCCATACCACATCTAAAAATTTGACTTGGTAGAAATGTAGTTTGAAAGTCTTGCAAGAGTTGCCATTTTGGTTAGCACAAAATTTTAGTTCATAAATGCCTGGTTTTGGTTATGTTTGAACCCTGAGTCAGATATCACAAAATTTAGTGTGAGATTTCAAGACAATGTGAGATTATCAGTGTGATACATGTGTTATCTACTAGTAGTACTAGTACAAGAGCAGTACAAGATTCACAAAGCCAGCGTAAAAAAACAGTATCTACAATGACAGTGCTTGCATCAGTCCAATTAGCAACACATATATTGTGTTCAGTCTCCAGGAGCAGGTGAAAAACAAAAATGTACCTGGTCGAACGTGTAGATGTGCATGAAGACAAGTCCATCACCCTCCATTGTGATCTTCTTGATCACCAGTTTACAGTAGACAACAGGTGGTGTGGTACTGTGTATCAGTGGAAAGAGTCTATATGTGTTGAAGACGCCATCATGTGCAAACTCAACAAACTTTCCATGGGTCACTGACAATGTGTTCGCGACATCTCGGCAGTGTTTGTTGGTGATGAAGTCTTTGAACATCACTAATAGATTGTGTGAGCATGATATTAATGATCCACATAGTACTAGTACTTACTACCATGTCCGAAGCATTGTGGCAATGAGTTGCGGATGGCATTTGTTAGCATTGTTTTTTTCGTGACTTTGTCAGTGGTCATCACATTTATGGTAAATAGTTCACACAATATTCTTTTGGTTGCACCCTTTACCGTCTGGCAGACAGTTGGGTCCGGGACTGTCAGAAGGGTAGTGGTAGAGTTAGAGGGTGCAGATAGTGCTGCAATCTGTGACATGGACCTTTCAGGTGCAGATGGATTAGGTGGGTTTTGGGGGTGGGTAGTCGGGTAGGGGGCTACTCGTGGTGTGGGTGGCATTGCCCATTGATTCCCTTGTTTTTTGGCGAGCCTTGCCAGGCCCACCATCTAAATCAATCAATTTGTATTAGTATTGAACATATCGAAGAATAAAGACTTACATGCATGACGTCCATCTGGGGGATTTTGCCTTGTTGCATGAGTGTCGTAGCTGACATGCTTGTGCCGGCTGTGCTAGGACCCTGGAATGATTGTGAGGGCGTCTCTGAAAGTGATTGGTCCTGGAAGAATGAATCCTGAGAAGGTCGGTCATCGAAGCCACCACTCTGCATACTACTAAATGTACTGGTCATGTTGGGCTGTAAAACTTTGAACTTTCAGCGACACAAATTCTAAGGAACTTATGGTCGGTCACATGTGCATCAAAGGTAAAATAGGGCATGTGGGGCTGTTCCGTAGGAATGCAAAGTTGGTCGGTCGCTGGCTGACCCGATGGGTTGAGACCAGATCCTCATGGTGGTTTTGGGACTTTGGCTTTGCTTTTTCGCTGGGAACCATGACCAATAGGCATTCAAATGTTGTGGGGGTAAGGATGTGAGAAATGCCTGCATTTAACTTGTGAATAGTACATAGGAGCAACATTACACGAACTTTACAAAACTGGGAACACAAGGCAGGCTGATAAGGTGATTTACGAACATTCACTACTGAAAGGCAAAAAGAGGAAAAGGGTGTGGCATGATAAGACGATCTATGAATGGAAGAAAATGATTTATGAATGGCCGGAGCGGGCAAAGCACTATATGGAACGGTCAAAGTGTGCATATGAACGGTTGAAGGTGGTTATGAACAGTCGAAAGCGGTTATGAGCAAGTGAAGAATGGGCAAAGCAAAGCGGCATCAGTTGATAACAATCTATGAACATGATTTCACTGATATCGATCAGTGTGAGCAGCATTAATGATTTGGCAGTCACATACCACATGGTAGTCACAACTGCATGCTGCACAGGCGCTGCTGGCCCGGCTGCCTGCCATGATTTTCATCATCATCTTTGTGATCCGTATCAGCATCGGTATCAGAGTCTGTATTGGTACCGGCATCTGTGAAACCCCCACACAGTGTATGTGTGATGCTGTCCCTATTTTCAAAGTACCAACAAAACGAGGTAGGTAGGGGCCCTTGCTGGTAGATTCCAGTAATTCATGCCTGGCATGTGGACCTAGACATCTTGAGACTGAGTCTGCTTGACCAGTGATGGCACGAAGCATTTCGCACTCATTGTCATAGACGGCTTGAAGTTAATTTGTGTTGTCATCAAGTTCTGTGCCATCATGCTCAGAAAACAAGTTTCTGATCTTCTTGAGCTGTTCATCTTTCATGTTGAGGCAAGCTCTGTTCTCCTGGTGAAGTGCCTGATTGAAGGCCATCATATGCTCTGCACACTCAACCTGCCACAGTGATGTTGCCACTTGAAGGCGAGTGGCCTCACAGCTAGCAAGTAATACCTTAAAGGCTTTGTACAGGGTGTCAAGGCTCATTTGTGAGAGGCTGCTAGATACAACATCCTCGTGCTTTTAAATATACTGTGTAAGAACGGTGTGGAACAAAGAAAGAAAATAACAGATACCTCTTGAGGTTGTTCAGTAGTAAAGTCTGGTTCATGTACTCATCCTATGATGCGGCTCGTCAACCGAATGTCCAGTGGAGTTTGCCTAGAAGGGTATGGAATGGGCCTCTTGGACAATCTCTCACGCAAGTGTGCTACCCAGGAAGGTGACTTTGGTGAGTGTAAGAGGTTGGGCTTATACAATAAGCTATCCTTTATGTCAGGAAGGTATGTAATCTCTTCCACTGGGGAGAGGTTAATCCTTGGAGAACTGGGGGACAGCTTAGGAGAAAGAAAAAAGTCAGAGCCAGATAAGAGCTCAGTAGCCATTGTATGGGGTGATGGTGACTCAGGGTAGTTGACCTTCTTGAAAAAATCCAAGGAGGTTAATTCAACACGTGTTGCACTACTTGATGTAGTGCAGGTAAATGCAGGACTGCTTGGTTGAGGAGGAGATGAGACTGTAGATGCAAACTCCATTGACTCAGCATGATGACTGTGCGCTGTGAAACATGAGGGCTTCGGACTTTGAAAGCCTTCACAATTTTTTGGAGCTTCAAGCTACTGTGCAGTGTGCGTGCTCGAGTCCAAGCAAAATTTACGCTATAATGTAAGTACTCCAATTGCTTGCTTCATGATATTGCACATACCTTTGGCAGGCTCTGTCCCAACTGCAAATTGGGGGAATATTTGTCCATCGAGGTACTTATTTCACATCTCAATGCTCCATCTCCTCGCTGGCCTTCCAATGCATGACCACAAACCTTACCTGTGTAGAGATTCACACTATTGCAGGTCTGCAACGTGTTATACTTCAGTGCATACCACCCGGGTTCGCAGCACCAACTCGCAGCATCATTCCCTAGCCTTTTCCCAGCTATTTCCATATCGGGCGACACTTTCCTGCATGTGCGACCCTCACACGACATTCTCATGCTTGCGCATCACTCACTTTCCCACGCTTTCATCACCCTATCATCCAGGAGCATCCACCCACTGTCCAGCAAGTCTCCCTGGTATGTATTTTCGCTTTTATTCAATATGGCACCATATTAGAGCATGGACCCTGACTTACATACCTTATTACATACATTATCTCACACTCGGCTCACTTAGCAAGACACATATATAGGTCCGCATTTTTCACCCTTTACCATAACACACCACTCCTTACCTTAGTGGAGTTCCCTCATGATGTCCATAGCCAGATTTAGAATTTATTAGCAGTCTTTTGTTTTCATTGAGCCCTCATTTATTGCTCATTGCATTTTTGCATTTTTGCTATTTTGCATTTCGCGTTCCCACGCCTTGCGCGCACGTCGCTCACTTCGCACAGCCGCTGTGTGACTGTGGATTTGTCCTCTTTGCTTCCCCTTGGATCAAACACCCTTGTCCCTGCAAGCATAGCAGACTAGGCATCACACTGATCAGTATATCAGCTTCTTGTGTCCCTCCCCTTGTATTTACCATTTGACCAACAGCTGAGTTGATTCATCTTCACCTGTCCCTTCGATATTCAGTCAAGGCGGTCAGATACCCATCACTGGTACCTGTCACCCACAATCCGGATATGTCTATGGGATCAGTAGAAACATGCTGGATAAGTTGGAAGATGATCAATTTGTACATTGGTGGTCGATAAATCCTTACTACCCTTTCACTGACCAAGGTGAATGGGAACTGGGGAAATTCTTGGTCGAAAACCTTAACCAAACCCAAATTATGAAGTTCCTGAAGTTGAAATGGGTAATGCGGAATACTGACCTAAGTTGGAGTCATAATTCCGATCTTGATTTTACAGTTTGATGCTTCGAATCGTGGAAGACCATCTTTTACTATGAAGGATCACCTCCTGGACTGGATGGACTCACTTCCTTCTTTTACCGCATGCAAAGTCTCCAAGTTAGAGTTTAAAGGCTATAAGACTGTCCATCCCATGGAGCTCGTTTGACATGATGTACTGGAGGTTATCCAGCAACTTTTTAGTGATCCGATGTTTGCTAACCACATGACCTTTAACCCCTACATTGCCAACGTTAAAAATCACCGTGAATACGGAGATTATATGAGTGCCAATATGGCATGGAAAATCCAGGTTTTTTTGTCCTATTAATCTAAACCAATAGACTGATTTTGTTATCTCTAGGACTATCTCCCGTTGGGTGCGACTCAAGTCCCAATTATCTTGGGATCAGATAAAACTCCTGTGACGCGACTCGCTGGGGGAATTGAGATGCACCCAGTCTTTGTTACCATTAGTAATATCGATTCCGAGGTCCATTCCAAGGCGACATTACAAGCTTGGTGCTGCGTGGCCTATATTCCCATTGTAAAGTTTCACATTCACCAAGAATACCAGTCCATTCTGCAGGCCAGACTATGGCATAAATGCATAGACCTCGTCTTTGCAAACCTCAAGGTCACAGCAAACAATGGCTGCTTCATGCCTGATCCCTCCCGCTACATTCGCCATGTATTTACGCCACTTGTCGCTCATGTGTGCGACCTGCCAGAGGCTACTATGATCGCTGCAGTCAGTAAAATGTGTCCCTGATAACCATGGCAATACAAGCAGATTTCGGTGATGGGATTCTCCACCTGCCTCGTACTGGGAACCACACATTGGAACTCATTGTGGGGATATCCCAAAATGTCGACCCCTGGGATCTGGACAAGTCTCAAAAGGTAGCCAAAGTCATTAACTTGTCTGGTGTTCACATGCCATACTGGCATGATTGGAAGTTTGCATGTCCATCCGTCTTCCTTGCCGGCAAGGTGCTGCACACCTGCCATAAGTTCTTCACAGACCACCCACTAAAATGGATCAAAGAAGCTCTAGGAGACTATGAGCTCAATACTGACTTCATGGTCCAACATAAGCAGGTCGGAATGTGCCATTTCACAAAAGGTATCACACATATTAATCAAATGACAGGCTGGGAGCATAGAGACATCCAATGCACTATTGTTGCGTCAATTGCAGGGGCCATCCCACACAGATTCATCTGTGCAATCTGTGCCCTTGTAGACTTCTTTTACCTCACTCAAAATCCAGTTCACTCACCTCAATCTCTTCAGTCATTGGTGCAGGCGCTTTTGGATTTCCACTCTTTTAAGGATGCTATCATCCAGGCCAAGGCAAGGAAGGGGAAGAAGGGTGTCAAAGAAGATTTTTTTTATCCTGAAACTTGAGCTTTTCCAAAGCTTTCATGGTACAATTAAGAAATTGGAGAATTTGATGCAGTTCTCTGCAGATGTGACAGAGTGGTTGCTCATCACACATTGCAAGAACCTTTTCCCATGGACGTCCCAGAAAATCAAGGATTTTACAGAGCAGTGTGTGTGCATTCTCAACCGCCAAGAGTCAATGGAAATCTTTGACCTGTATACATTGTTGAGTTCTCACAGGGCGTCACTAGTTAATGCTATACATGCTGAAGATGAAGATGTCACCATTGCCAATCCTGCACTCTCTTGGGTTTCCCGAGTTCTCCTTCATGAAGTCAAGTCAATTCATGGTCCCTAACCTGTCCATAATCACTTTCTCAAGGGTATCCTCTCAGGAGATGCACTCACCGCTTTTCAACTCAATGTCATGCCTGATTACAAGTTGCTGTCAGTGTTTGACATGCGCACAAAATATGCACTCCTAACTTTGACCGTGCACTCGCTGAGTTCATTTATCATTCGTCCCTTTCCAGTGATGAACAGTTTCGCTCAAACCCCAAATCTGTACACTTCCATGTGTGGCACAAGTTCAGATTGCAGCTTCACTCAGCCTTCCAACCACGTGTCATCATGCCAAGCCAAGTGGTTCAAGCATACCCCCCAACCAATGGTTTTCCCTTCGGAAATTGCAATGCTGTTCTCATTGATGCTACAGGCATTGATGGCAAGATGAGTAAGTCTATTCTATCAGCTTATGTTCTAACTCTACTAATATCATATACAGTGAATTATGTTGCGCAAGTCCATCTCATTTTTCAACCAACAGTTCAACAGGGTTCCAATTTGGAACTACCATCTTACCTCTCCGACCCACTTCTCTACGTCCAAGTTTTCCGCTTCATTCACAATCCTGATGACCACCCTGAACTCGCAATGTGGACTGTGGAGCGCACATACACGCAGGATGGAAATGGTAACCGCTGTAGGGAGGGGGCTGTTGTACGAGTGACAGATGTGACCCATGTGGTTGAATTGATACCAGTTTATGGTGAGGCAATGGCCAACGGCATGTCCTCTGCAACTTGCTTGGAGAGCTATGACCGTTTCTTTTTGAACAGCTTTGCAGACAAAGAAAGCTACCATATATCCAGTACTGAGTTTGTGTAGTCAATCAGCAGGATCAATTGTATTGATTGCTATCAAATATACTATGTTATCGTATCACTGAGCCTATCACATGATTCACATCTTATCCACGGAAGATACTTGGCCCATATAGTGATGTGCACGGCTCGGCTTGAGGCCCTAGGCCAGCCCAAGCCGGGCCCAAATAAGCCGGGCCCAGCCTAGGCCTAAGTCATGGCCTGAGAAAGGCTTGGGCCTGGGCTTGAATTTCGAAAAGCTTGAGCCAGCAGCCTAAGCCATGGCTTAGGCATGTTCAGTGGCACTGCCATAGAAGCCTCACTGGAGGTACATTTTCCGACTCTATTTTTGTCTTTTCAACCTTCTGACTTCCATCACTCTTATCAGCTTCGACAGTCCATATGTCGCAGTGAGTTGCCATGTCTTATTTGTGCTTCAGTTGGTCGACGTTACTCACATTGCAGTCAAAAAGCCTACTCTGTCCAACATATCCAGCAATTTACCCTCCTTTGACGCCTTTTCTCTTGTGTGTTGCTACGCAAAAGCTACGGTGAGCTGCCAGCGCTATGTCTTGTGCTTCATGAGCTCGACATAACTCACTCCGCCGTCGGCAAACTAGATCTCAACTGCACAAGCCAATATTTTTGGTAATTTTGAAGCCTTATGTGCTTCACCTTCACAAGTGTGATTGTCCACCCAATATCTTTCAATTGATTTATGTTGGTACGTGTCCCTCTAATATCCCAACTACCTGCTACCTACCTATGATGAGCACAGAAACCGAGCACCTTGTTGCGCATCCTGTATGCAAAACCAAACCTACGGCAGGCCCTTCTTCAACATGCGGAGAAGGCAGCACTGCCATCCCAAACCAAGGCAATTCACGACTTCCATGCTGCAGAGGCTGCTAAGCGCGCTGCCACTTCATCCTCCACCAAAATTGCGGAACCTCCATGCACCTCTCCCATACCATCAGCATCAGCATCATCTGCTGTTGACCCCCACAAAAGGGTGCACCCTGCAGACTCTTATGAAGACTCTGACAGAGAATCTGGCAATGACGAGTGTGAAAATGCACGTACTAATCCCAAGCCTCAAAAGCAGCGCAAATTGGCTGTTGTCCCAACTGAACCAGAATTAGTTGACGCTGACGGTATTCTAATCGACATTGACATTCAATCTCTCATGGAACCAGTGTTGACACGAGAGGCCAAAACTGCTGACATCAACAAATTTTTCGGTGCTACCTTTGATCATGCAAGGGCAAACGGAAAGGTGAAAAAGCACAGGAAGTGCAAAACATGCTGGTAGGTCTGCTTATTTGTAGTTGTACTCACACGCTGATGCATGCTCAATAGGAAAGAATGTATTCTTGTTAATGAAATATCTACCCTCCATCATCACGCTGAGGCAAAGTTCTCTGCCAAATATTGGAAATGGGCCAAAGTGTTACAACTTGGATAGTATCTGTTGGCGACGCTCAAACAGAGCGCATGTCGTCAATGGTCGAGGACATCCTTGGGCTAGCCCAAGGTTAAGGGTCTTACTTGGCGAGGCTTCGGCAAGTAAGATTTAACGCCTATGTCCAAATCGGGTAGCTTATGTCAAGCGGGGCTCGACGATAAGCGTATCTGCCAAGGCTTACGACACCCGAAGGTTAATCGTAAGATCTGCATTAAGTAGAAGGATGGAAGTCTGACTAGTTAACAGGGGGCTTTGCTCATTGACGAAGTCAATGAGTAAAGATCGAGACTAAAGACTTATCCGCGATGAGCAGATAAGAGAGTAGAATATAGACTGCTGGCTAGGCAGAAATGATCACTCTTGTTAGGAGTAGGAGGTCAAGAACCAAGTAGATTCAAGTTGGGGAATAGGATACATGGTAGCGAGTTTATATAGAGGAAAGGATGCATATTAGTGGATGATAACTCGTACTACCAGAAAGGGAACTGGTCAATGGGTAATACTAGAAAAGGGAGGCACGTTCGAGGTGAGTCATAGGTGAACTGGAACGTGCAAGTAAGAAACGAGTCAAAGATAGAAACAGGAAGTGAAACGCGCAGGGGCACGACCATGCAACTGCGGAGCTAAATATAAGTACACATGTGTGACTGCGCACCGAATCATTGATCAAGAAAGGGAACAGGGTAAAGGGGATGCAGCGTGCATTGTATCATAGGTTACTGTCCGGATGGTAAGGGCAAAGGGGACTGTCCACAGGGTCAGTCGGGGGTTGGAATGGAGCATGGGTATGCTTTGTCAGAGAAAGGGTCCGGCCAGATGTACTGGCTCTGTTGAAGCGACAGGTAGAGGGCGAAGGGAAATGCGAGGATGACCAGGATAACAAGAGCAAGGTCAGGGTAAGGGTGTGATGCAAGGGCGGAGACGAGGAGGATGAGGAGAAAAATGGTAGGGGCCCAAGCATCTAGATGTTCTTGTAACACAAAGAACATTTGTTTGAGTCGATGCTTCCTGGCGACGTTAAGGCCCGCAAGGAAAATGCCGTGCAGCAGAGTATTAATGCGCATCTGACTGAGCAGAAGCTCACCGAACGAGTGGTTTCATATATGGATAGGTTGTTCAAACAGGCTGCAATCGAGTGGCTCGTGTCCACTGATCAGGTACTACATTTCTCTTATGATTGAACTGAATTAATGTCTATTTATCTAGCCAATTCAAGCACTCAAACATCCAAAGTTCAAAGAAATGATCGACATCGCAGCTCGCGCAACCAACGGCGTCAAAATTCCAGGCAGGAAGGCAACTCATGCAGAGATAATAAGAACCTTCAAAACTCATCTTACGGGGCTCAGGAGCCAACTCAATGTAAGTAAATTTTATGATATTGCTCTATCTACTTGACTAATGTGGACCTATGTAGGGTGCCACTGTCAAGGGCGCCATCAATACTACCTGTGATGCATGGCAGGCCGAAAATACTGATGGTTACTTTGCTGTCACAGGACACTGGATCGAAGAGAAGACTACTATGCAATGGGAACTCGAAAGTGCGCTGCTCAGATTCACTCAAGTCAATAATGCCCACACAGGCAAGCATCTCGGTGGTGCTTTGTTTAAAATTCTCGATCGTGTTGGTGTCACGCACAAGGTAAGTTAGGTTTACTGCAAGTATATTTGTTAGTCTCATAAATCACACTATCTTGGACATGTCACTTGTGACAATGCCGCGAACAATGGCACCACTCTACAGGAATTCGCAAGGCTATATGAGGCCAAATATGATAAGGAGTTTCCCTGGCGCCAGCAGAAAATAAAGTATGTTTGATTATCACTTCTTACTTAACAAAATTGCTCTCTGACAAATCACATAGCTGCCTAGCCCACATTATCAACATTGCAACACAGACCTTGATCAGCTCGTACAGCAAATCCCCTCATTACAACCCCCATGATCTGAAAGCGCATGAGCCGTCCAATTGAGATGAAATTGGCCTCGTTTGTAGCATTTGTGTTAAGGAACGTTCCTCTGTGAAATGAAAGGAGCTGTACCAGAATGTTCAAACCAAGGGAGGCGTGTCCCAGCCAATGCAACTGTTAATCGACATGAAAGTTCAGTGGTCCTCCACTTATATTATGCTCAACCGTGCAGAGATGAATAAGGAACACGTTGACATGTTTGTATATGAGATGGGTCGTCAAGAGCGTGATTTAGCTAGACGCGCAAAGATTGACTTTTTGCAGCTGTCAAACAGTGAATGGACACATGTTGGGCAGTTTGCCGATCTTCTCTCAGTACATTATTTTCTATTTATTTGAAGCTTCCTACTTATCTTGGTTTTTTAGTATGCTGACATGGCCCAACAAGCTTTCTCATCTGAACAAGGTTCAACCTTACACCTTGCAATCCCGGCACTCAAAACTCTTCACAAGGCTTGGTCATCACGTGCAGAAAGGCCAAAATATGCGAAGTTTGCTCCTGCGCTCAAAGATGCAGCTGCCAAAGTAGACGAGTATTACGAGAAGACGACACACTCTGCTGTGTATGTATTGTCAATGTGTATGTTGATTATTTTTTCATGAACGACTGTGAGTCTGACTTTTGCACTTCAGTACTCAACCCCACAGGGAAAATGTTATATTTCACGAAGCATTGGCCAGAGGATCTGCACAATGATGTGCTTTCTACTGCGGAGACAGTGGTGAGTCATCTTTTTTATTTTATCAACTTAATCTGAATGTGCTACAACTAGTTCAAAGCGCGGTATCTTCAGCTGAACCAAGTGACATCATCGACGTCGCAACACACAACTAAGCCCAGCAGAACTGGCAGTCTCAAGAAGTTAATTCACGAAGTCCTCAGTGACTCCGAGGATGATTCATCGGCCAACCCAGTGCCTACTTCAATTGGTGACCTGACAAGACCATGGTGGGCTGAAATTTTGGCCTACCTCGAGACAGTTGAAGCAGCTCCACCATCTGGCATGTCTACCATTCAATGGTGGGGTGTACGTATTTTTTCGCTACTCAAAAATTTCACGCTAATGATAATCTTACTACTTAAGATAAATGCGCAGAGGTACCCCATTTGGGCTTCACTTGCGCAGGATTATCTGGCCATTATGTCATTGTTGGTCTCCAGTGAGAGGGTGTTCTCGCAAGGTGGTATCACCATCACCAAACGACGCAACCGGCTTAAGGCCGACATCGTCGAAGCACTCCAGTGTCTTAAATGTGCACTACAACACGATCTTCTGTTCCATGAGCCTGCACCATTGTCTCTCGTTGAGTTGGAGCACCTGGACGATGATGATGAAGAAGTGGAAGTAGAAGAGACTGGTGATGATGAAGAAGGTTGGGACATTCTGCTTTTGGGTGATGATGCTGAGGACATGTCGGACACTGAGACGGACATTTACTAGATATATTGTAATTATGCTGCCTAATGCCACAGTGGTCTTGAGCTGTCTGTTGGCTGCAAAAAGCTGCGGCCTGGTTGGGCTTAAGCCCTGGCTTTGTGCTGGCTTTGGCTCATGGCCTAGGCTCTGAATTTTTGTGAGCCTAAGCCCTTCGAAGCCGAGCCTAAGCTTGGTTGGAACATCACTAGGTGCATGTCTTATCAGCCAGATGTGGTGAGTAATATTGGTGTTCAGCATCTCCACCAATCACATGAGTTTGCTAGTGAGGTCATAAGTGTTTGTAAGTGTCCATAATGCGCATAAGTTAAGTGTTCATTTCAGTTGTTTTGCAGACGCACCACCACCACCGTTACAGCATTATGGTCACGCTGATTAGACCATATATAGTAATCACTCCCGGCTTTCAAAGGCCAACATAATATGAAGAACATTGTCAACTGTGAGTGATTGAAGCAAGAGCATGACATTGACAAAATGTGATATTGCAGTTGTGAGTACAGTTTGTAGACTACGAGTATATGAATTCAAAGCATAGAAAGCATAATGAAGGCACTAGTATGAAGGATATCAATGGATCAAAAGCAGCTCAGCAGATCAAAATATGATAACGAAGGGAAAACAATTGATAGAATGATCATACAACTAAAGTACGCGCAGTCTGGATAATGCAATGGTCTAATTTAAGTCTAATGGTTTGGTGAAAGCTGATATGATGCTAGGACGACGTGATGTGATGTTGTATTACTTATTGTGTCACATGTTCTCAAAATTACACATCAGTAAAATATCACAGTTCTTAATTTAACTTAATCTGAACTTGTTCCACTTGGCTTGACATCCAAGATTGTCAAAATGTTCAAGATCTCGATTTGACTTAGAGCACAACTTGAATGTCTTACTGTCAAGCCAACAAAGACACCAAGACAACTCAAAGACAACTTAAGCATTTTAAAGACCAAATGAATTCCAAGGTAAAGTTGTGTATCAAGATGCGAGCTCGAATGAATGGTGATCAATGAACCGATTTATGTAAAATCCTCGAAAAACATCAAGAGAATGGTGGAATTGAAGGCCCCATGGAACAAACTGAGTACCGAATATCAGAAGCAAGTGAGCACCGCAAACAATACTATCAATATGGATTATTGACATGTTGGGAGAGCCATCCTCATCAAAAGATGGCACAACCATGTACATTCCTGTAACTTTGTCTCGTTCTTCAGTAATCCGATAGAACCACTGAACGAGTGCGCATGAATAGATGCAACTATTAGTGAAAGTGAAAGAAAAAAAACAAAAAATTTGAATGACATCCATGCTTAGTATTCCGTCCTGCCTGTCGTCTGTGTTGACGAAGGCACAGTCAAAGTGGCCTGGTCCATTGTGCCATGAAGGTACAGCACGGATATGCTCACGGCGCATGCCAGTGATTCCACTTGGATCACTGGGTGCAATGAAAGTCGCAGCAGCCGAATTAAAGACCTTGATAGCTCCCATATAGGATGGACAATCACAAAGCAGAACATCTGCAGAAGAATGGTGATCATCGGCATGTATTTGATCATAAAGGAAGAGATGGATGAGGGTTGGGAGTGATGGCACCTTGAGTTCATGCGCAAGGCCACTGACAGTGCACGTGTGTTTTCGTTCTGAATATTGTGTCAATGAGAAAACACCAATGAAAGGTTTGATACACACAAAAAGTGCATGCTAACTGCACGTCAGCAATGACATTGACATCATCTACAATACCCTGATCCTCAACATCGTTGAAGTTGTCACTCTCACTGGCAAAAGGGTTATTTTCTTCGTGCACATTGTTCTGTTGGACCTCGGAGTCCCCATTGCTGATAGCAGACTGATTTTCAACTGGAAAATTCAATGAGTGAACCGAATTGGAGTCAAACAGAACACTTACAAAATGAATTGAAGTAACTAAAGGCGCAAGAGCCTTTGAGCATACCACACACAGCAAAATCAACTCTTGATGCAGCAATTTTATCCAGGCGTTGATTGGTTAAGAGCATTTGATGGAGTGCATTATACCTATTTAAATGGTGCCATGGTTCCTTTACCACTTTGATGTGTTTGGATTCTGCAATCGACGAGCAGAGACCGTTTGGAGCACCAAACATGCAGATGAGGAGCTCATATTGGGTGAGAGAGTGTTGGCGGGGTAGGGAGACGTCAAAGCGGACACTGCTAGTCTCAAAGATGGTGCGATACCTATGAAAGCGCCTAAGGGCGTCCCTCAGCTGTGCAAGAGTCTCATCTGTAACCACATTTGTGCATCCAATGTAGCAGAACTCCAACAAGGATTGAAAAGCTCGAACCATATCGTCGGGCACGTGGCCTTCAATTGCTGGTATGTAAACCTATATAAGTTGTGTAAGCGTAACAAAATCATTGTATGTAAGTGCGAAAACTTACCTTCATCAATGCCTTGGAGTCATCTCCGGTCCATTGAGAGAATCCGCGCCCTTGCAGAAAGCGTTGTAAACCAGGGAAGGATGGAGCAGCAGCAATTCTAATGTATTGTTAATTGTTGCAAATGATAACAAAAGATTGAACTTACCTTCGGTCAATGTCGTCTAAGATCGCCTTAGCCCCAGTTTTCCCATGTTTGAGTTCCAGGTACTGACACACCCATTCAACGAGGTGATCCTTGAATGTTCCTTTGATGAGTTGATGCAGAATATTGGGCAGCAAGGAGCTCATGGATGTCGGTGCAAGGAAAGTCATTTGTAAAGGGCTATGGAGTGTGATAGTCAATGTGATCACAGTATATAAGAACAATGTGAGGGTACATACCACTAACTCTCCAATGATACCGTACTCATCCCAAAGGACACCAAAATCAATCGAGTCCACGAGCACATCAGTGTGTTTACGCGACCGAGAAACTCCTCCATCATCGAGAGTTGAGGGAAATGCAAGGCATCTGTGAATGAAATTAGTGCAGAGGACTCTGCATGATAGCGATACTTACCTTCCACACCAATCTTTGACTATACAAGCTAATACGACCTGCTCTTTGTAGTTGGCGATGTAGGGACCAAGTCCATATAAAATGTGCCAGTAGTGTCCATCGCCGCAACGTGTGACTTCAGGTGTCATCATTCCAGGTTTGAGGGTGGCGAAGATCTTCGACAGTGAGGAGTGGAATAATTGCTTCTTGAATTTGCAGGTATCTCACATCATCTGCATTCCTTTTTTTTGGCTACATACAATGATGACAATGTAAGCTTCACACTAGACTGAGAGAAACGGAAACATACTCTTTGGAATTGCCAAAAACCCGATCAGGGCCAACGCGTTGCGATGAGAACACCAAATGTTGTTGTGAACGTTTCCAATTGAGAGATACAGTGGGTAGTCGTCGTTTTGGCCGGTAGCAACAGAAACAGTCGTCTTGTCGCTACCAACAATGATGGGGACAAAGGCTGCGCCATGTGTTTCCAGATCCTGCGCAATTTGGTCCTGTAAATGATATCAGTACGAGATTGTAATAGCCACAAAAAATACATACCGCTTGCTGCCAGGCCCAGTCTCCTGACATGAAATCCTTGTAACAACATTGCTCACTCTTCTCCTCAAACTCCCAGTACGGCACATAATCAATTGAATTCTTGAAGTCCAGGTTTGCAAGCATGTTCTTGATGACAGTGTGGGGGTCCCGAAACCATACTTCGTGGGACTGTTCCATCCATAGTGGACACTGTCCAGCAGGTTTGTCGCCATTATACTGGAGAGAAAAGCTTTGCCAGGTGATGTCGCCTAGCAGTGTGGCGTCAATAGTCTTGTATAAGTCCTTGTGGTCAGCAAATGGTGGGTTGTCATTGTGAACAGTGAGAGTGACCCCCCACAAGTGAAGGATTTTGTCGATGTCACCAGCGGACATCTGGTTTTTAGTGTACAAAAATTTGGCACACTCGAACTCGAGTCGGTTGTGATACAGAGTCCAGTTGTTAGAGCTTTGTGCTATGTAGGGAGGTGGAGGAGTGCTGGGATCAAGAAAATTGCTGTTCTCATCACAAATATGACCTGTTGGCGCAGATTTTCGTCAGATACAAGCTAGCATGGCAGCAAAACTAAGAACTTACCAGTCAGAAGGTCATGATAATCGCGTATGAGCCCAGACTTTGATTTGTGCGGTGCTGTCGGAGTGTCTCCTTCGTCTTGAATTTCTTCAACTGAAGCATGGCAAGCGGATGACGACTGAGTAGAATGAGTGAATGAGTGGCTATGTGCCGAGCTTTAATGAACTTTCAGCCCAGACACGGACTTGAACCAGCGTTTACAGCCTGGATAGGGACACTGAATGCGTCGAGCACTGAACGCCCGCCGTTTGAGTTGTGTGCGAGGGATTATGACCGGCATGTTGGAACAGATGGAGTGACAAACTGCAAAGTTCAAACTGTTAGCAAACATGCTAACTCTGAGTAGAATGTAGTGTAATACATATGAAACGGGGTGTGAAAATTGACTTAGGGTTTCAACATCCATTATGACCGCTCTCCCATTCACACTAAATTTTCTTGTCTCTAAACCAGTCCTTTCGCCCAATGGCACACCCAAATACTCGCCCTAAGAATGCAACCCAGCATTCTGGTGAGATTATCCTCCAAAACAAGCAAAAAAGATGCACTGCTCGCGAAGTAAAGGAAGACAAGGAATGAATGGAGCAGGAAAGGCAGGAGAATGAAGCCACTGCACAGTGCAACACCGAGAGAATTGCCTCTATTGAAGATAAGATGGCATTGAAGGAGCTGAAAACTCTTATGGACGCACCTAAACCTCGGCCCTGTGCACGTCCTATACAAAAGAAGGCCAAACCAACCATCGAGGACAACAATGATATTGCAGAAGGCCCTATGGAGAGCAAGGACAATGAAATCATGGATGTCGTTACAGATGATGACAATGGCGATGAGGACCTGACAACATGGGATTTAATTGAGAGGTAAAGGATCTTCAGAAGACTCACCCCAGACTTTAGCTGACCATTGTGTTGTCCAGTGATGAAGAAAGCATAGAAGTGCGGCCAAGGAAGAAGCGTTCACAGAAGATGGCTTATCGGGAGGCTGTCCAGGATGTGTGAAGTGTTAATAATAAAGGTGGCATTAATCAGAAGGTGATCACACAATTGCGGCACGTGGTGACCCAAAAGGCAAGAAGGTGTAAGTTCTTATTGTTTCCCATCCACTATGTTATTGCTCACCGAAACCACACTTTCTCACCTTGATCTCCTCAATTGTTTCAGTATGGATGTCAGCGCGATCAAGGACGACTTTTCGGGAATGGGAAAAACCAAGGACTGGGCTGAGAGACTTGCAGCAAGCAAGTTGCTCAGGCCTCCAAGCCTTCAAGCACATTCTCAAATGTCCTCAGCAACTACCTCAACAGCCGTTTCAGCAATCTCCAGGGTGACCACTACTAGCGCTCATCCTGCGCCTCCCCCTACTCCATCAACCAATGGGCAAGGCAATCTTCAAGAGCCTACCACAGCCTTTTTGGATAGCGATGATGATTCACTCGAGCGTGAGGCGGCCTTCAAAGCTACCAAAAAACCTGGTGGCAGAAGCACAACTTCTGCAGTATGTACATTATAATTTTCTTACATTCACATTGCACTCACTTCCCTTCAGGATATAGTGGAAGTCCGGGATAGTTCATTATCTCCACCTCCTTCCATGCAGACATCAAGAGCTACTGCTAGACTTGACATCATCCTCATTTCCAGTTTATCAATGGACATCGATTTCGGCGACAGCAGCCCCAGTGAGGACATAATCCCACCTTCTGCCCCTCCAGCAGCGAAAAATAACAAGCGCCTCACAACTTCAGTAAGTTTCAACCATTCTGAGCTGGCCACTTCTTTCGCTGTTTAATGTGGTACTTATCTCTTTGCTTGACATGGACCAATGTGACCATCAGTAGTCAAGCCCCCCCCTTCAAAATGAGCAAAGACAGACTCTCACTCCAAGGGTGTCTCATCACACCGTGATGGGAGTGGCACCAATCACTGGTACCAGAACAACGATCTTCCCAAGGGATGCCAAGACGGTAATGCCTGGTGTCGTGTGTTCATACCAAGTGTGGCACACTGGGCCAGTGGAGATGTTGAGCCATGGGGTCCTGATGATAGTGATTTGAGGGAGACTATGCAAGAGATGTGGGACCATATATACTGGGGCCGGATTCAGCACGAGATCTCCCGATCTGGTGCTGTCATGAAAGTTGTAAGTCTGTTATTTGTGTCACTTAGAAGTTCACTAACATCTGTAGGCAAAACAACACCTCATGGAATGGCGCGGAGGCTTCGGTGTTGCAGCTTGCTCCATCCTCACTGCGTTTTTTGCACAGGATGCCGATTTGTTAGATCCTGTCACTCACTTGGACTTCTCGAAAGCTATGCTCAAACAAAACAGATTTATTTTCAGGGATAATTCAGGTCTCATTCCCAAGGTAAGTGATATCATTGTTGTCACGAGACCATCCTGCTCATTTGTTCAAAGAATTGGATGGGCATGTGGAGATCTTCTTTCATACCTCAAACATTCGCAGTCGCATCTCAATTTCACCTTTGGCCAGTGTTGAAATCCCCGCCCTGAACTGCCAAGAAGTCTAGCGCACGGGCTGCCTTTGCCCTCGCTGTCACAGCTGTAAGTCTCAATTTATATTTCAACTATATTTTTAAAATATTCTCCATAGGTTTACCGCACTCTTCAACTAGTCGTTCGATAGGAACATGACTTTCGAAATCATTCAAGAATCACGCAGGCAAATGCAAAGGTGCGAAGACAGATAATGGTGATGTTTGGATGCCCGTCATTGTGAAGGGCGAGCAGTATTCTTTTAGTAAACCCATCTGGGGGGGCATGACCCTCAAGTTTATGGGTCCCATTTCGGCGCTTTCTGATGACGACTTTGCGACCATTGTGGAGGAAGCTCAACAGTATGCCAAGATTTCAAAAAATGTTGGGAACTCAAGGACTACTACCAGTGTTGCACCTGACAAGGACGACATATTTGCTGACCTTTTTGCTTTCCGCTAACGGTGAGTGATTTCGGCTGCTGCATGTAACTCATTGTTGATATGCACACAGATGATGTTTAAAGGGCAACTGTGACCTCACTCGCCTTCCTCCCATTCAAGGACCCTTGTTAAGTCTCCTGGATTGTTCAGTTCCTCAATGCTACTACTCGAGCTCATTCAACAATTGTTTTTTTCACTGTTTAGACATACAGTATCATTGATGCCTTGCTTTTGTTCCGCATTCCACTAGCCCTGCTTTCTGTCGCATTCACACCCATGCTTTCCATCATCATTCATGCACACCACATTGCTCATCCATATCAGCCTTACTACTTTAATCATCCTTATTTGTTTATTGATTTCTTACTGGCTTACTGGCTTTACTCTTATTCCACCTTAGTTGTCTTATGAACTTGGTTATTCTTGCTTCGCAAAGGTGTCATTTATAAGACGAGAGACTTGAACTAAGTGAAGTGTCTTAGAAAAAGACTAACTTATTTTGTCTTGGACGAGATTTTAAGCTTGTTAAGTTAATTTAAGAACTGTGATATTTTACTGATGCATCTAGAAATTATTGTTCCTTTATCAGTGTGCCCCAATGTGCATTTCTTATTAAAATAAGTATCTAGATGTATTCTATAGAACTGATTATACCACACTTTCTGTACTCAACTAACAATTTGACAAAGAACTTAGGCCACTATCGAGAAACTCAGAACTTATGTTTTGAAACTTCGGGTGGCTGTATTCTAAGGTTTACAAGTGTAGTAATGTCGAGCCCTATATCCGGGATTTGCCTTTTGCCCACCTCTTGGTGTAATATGTCAGAAATTTCTCGATCACACGCCTCTTGGAACTAGGTATTGTATCACCAACCATGATACTAAAGCGAAAGCAGAAACATGACTCACTGTCGCCATGTGCCCCTCAGGCTTCTGGCTTAATTTTCAACCGACGACTAGATGCATTCTAAACCTTGACTCTAAGGCACGCAAGTGAGTCATGTGGTTCAATCCTGGCTGCATAGCATACTCACGAGACAAAAGTTACTGCAGCACTCCGAATGTGAAATGCAAGAAGCACCGTTGGGATAACATGATGCAACAAACTCAGATGCTGTCAAAGCAACGATAATGGCGAGAAGGGAGAAACACATTTTCTGTGCGAGGAGATATGGAATCTTCTGAGGGGAATATCGAATGATATCTCTGAGGATGTAGGAACACTGTGGCCTAGTGCTGCCGCAGTTCAGTCCAGAACCTAGGTTCGAACCCGAACCTTTGCAGACCAGACCCATGGTTCGGTCACAGGTCCAGACTTTCTGTTGGACCGAACCCCTTGGTAAGTTCGGGGTTCGGTGTGTCGTCAATAAATCTGGACCAGTTCTGAACACATCCGGACTGGTTGGAACCTCATGACTTTTCGAAGTCGAAGCCTCATGCTTTTGGTGAGGCTTTCTGTTTAAGTATCGTCCTTGCCCTTCTGTTCACCGTCTTCTCCTACTTCTCCTGCGTTCTAGTAGGCAAGGCAATCTCTCAGCAACTTCGGTAATGCAGCAACTCATTCAGGTGCCAGTGAGTTCGCAACAATTCTACTGTCTGTCCCAATTAACTTATAATGCAATTTATTTCAGAACATACCTACTGTTGTGATTCACCATACTCGCCATCTGCCATGGGTTCTCGTTTTGGTGGTTCATGGTGTGCAACAGTTTTAAAACTAGTTTTAAATATATTCACTTGGTACCTAGGGACATTTATGCCTCCTGCTGCTATGTCTGAGTCCTCTGCATGTCACGCTGACGGTTCGTTGAAAGACGCCAGTGAAATTCAGTGGTACAATGATGTTGAAGACGACACCCCAATGGTTCCTCCCCCTGCTCCCGCCAACAATGGCACTCTCAACTCATTTGTCCGTCGTTCTGGTCGCGCTGTCAAACCCACAGAGAAGATACGCGAGACTCTGGTTGCCAGCAGTACCTCAGCCAAACGGTCAGCTCCAGAACCTCTCCAAGGTGTCCCTGCACCCAAACGAGTGTTCATTAGCCAAGAGGACGACTATGACGACAATGAAGACGCACCTGCACTTGAAGATGTTACAGATGATGAGGAAGAGGATGCCGAGAGTGCTGAGAAAGAAGAGGCTTACCAATGGATGAAGAAGCTTGGCGACCAGGATCGCGAAGACCGCAAATCTCTCAAGAAGGACGAACACAGCGCTGACTTAAGGACAGTCTTCACTTTCGAGAAAGGCCGTCTTAATCCCCACACCCAGGAGCTTGAAAACGGGTGGTGGTGTGAGGTGTGCAAGGCCAACAATGTCATTCTACACCAGTGTTTCTTTAAAGGCAGTATCTCGACTCGACGCACGCACATTGCGCGCAATCCCAAGTGCCACTTCCCAGTTTATCGGGACCGCTGCAAACAATGTGGTCTTGTGATGCACGATCGTGCAATACCTCAAAACTGCAAGACGACTGATATAGCGTATGTTATTTTTCTTGTTGTTTTCTTCTCCTTTCATTGACCTTTACAACCAGTCAGGAAACCTTGGACGCATTTTCGGCTCCTTATGATAACCATGTCGTTGTGCACAATGAGTAAATTTGGTAGCTATTTGTACAGTACAATGCTGTTGTCATTTTCTAATAATTGAAACAATGGTTCGAGGGTTCGAACCCGTTCTGAACCTGGACCGAACTCTTGTGAACGCGTTCGAAGGCGTCCGGTTCGAGGTTCGGCCATCTTGCTCTAGAGATTAGAGGTAGAGCGGGATAGAAAAGGATCTAACAGGTAAGAGCAAGTCTCAGTCTCTAGAAAGAACTGAGACGCTCGCAATGGTTGGGCGCTAGTATTTATACGGTAAGCGCTCTCGATTATTTTGAAGGTAAAAATTTACTTTGGACCATTTCGGTCCCGACGTCAACAGGTACTCCCTGTTCCTTCCGTCCCCGGCACACTTCTTGCGCTCGTACCCTCTACTCCTCCTCCCGTTCCTCTCCGGCTTCGGTATCTTCGGACTCAGCGGAATCGGATGTCAATACTTGCCTGAACCTGACCACTGGTCGAGTTCGGGGTTCGCAGATATGAGGTGACGAACCCGACCGAACCGGACTTCGGCAGCACTACTGTGGCCCGTGCCAGGGACAACGACCAGCTTTTATATCTTGCATATACTTATGGGCACTTTGCTGTCAGACCATACGAAATTTGGCAGAACCTGCAGGAGAGTATTTATCTGATTTACTACGGTTGTATCATGACTTGCTGGCAGGCATCATCAATTCTCTTATTCGTCACAACAGAACGCTCGCTGGAACTCCCGCTCTCTCGTCCCGATCTTACTGCATACCAATTGAGTTCGCCAGCGCAGCAACAAAGTTGAGAAGTTAAAACTCATTCTCGTAGGTACTTACGTGTCACAGTTCCTCTGAAGTCTTTGAATCCGACACCTGGCGAGCGGACGGTAAATTCGGCAAGTGTGACTATCCGCACTGACAGGCCGTCACCCAACCTTGCATTTCATCCAACACTCGCTCGATGAAGAGTCGTGACGTTGCTCCAGGCTTCTAGCTTAATTCTCAACCGACGAATAGAGGCATATCAAACCTTGACTCTAATGAGTCATGTGGTTCAATCCTGGTTGTACAGCAACCTGCTCATAGTACTTACGAGACAAAATCAACTGCAGTAATCTAAGTCTGCTTGGCAAGGTTCATTGTCGGGCCTACAAGATGCACTAACAAAACTCACTCTCGCGACATGCCGCCCGGGCTGCCGGCTCAATTTTCAACCGCTATAGGAAATATTCTCGCAGAAATCTTGATCCGCAGTCTAAGGCGCGTATGTAAGTCATGTGGTTCAATCCTAGTTGCACAGCGCCCTGCTCATACTCACAAAGTGGTAACACCATTGAGTGCAGCACTCCCCATCTGACCTGCAAGATTCACCGCGCATCTGACATGATGCAACAAACATAGGTGCTGTCAAAGCAACAACAATGGCGAAGAGGGAGAAATGCATTTTCTGTGCGAGGCGATATGGAATCTTCTGAGCGGAATCTCGAACGATATCTTTGAGATTGGAGGATCATTGAAGGACGACGAACAACCTTTATACTATCTTGCATATACTTATGAGGCACAATGCTGATTGATTTGGCAGAATTGATATTGCTGTCAGATGACACGAAATTCGGCAGAACCTGCAGGAGAGTCTGATTATGGCAATTGTGTCATGACCTGCTGGGCCAAAATCGACAATTCCCTTATTCAACACAACGGTCTCTCGTCTCGATCTTATTGCCTATTATTTGAACCCGCCGGCGCAGCGACAAAGTTGAAAAGTTCATACTCATTCTCGTAAATACTGCCGATTCACAGTTTCTTCTAAATTTCCAGACAATCAAGTTAATGCATGGCATGGGCGTGCTGCTGCAGTCCTGACGTGACACACGAATGTGCAAGGGTCCCTATATGCTCCACATTCAGCTCCCACATGTCCATTCCTTTGATGTTTTATTGATCAAGGGACATGCGCTACCACCTACATCAGCTAACGACTATTCTCTTTTCCTCCTTGGAGAAGGAGCGGATAACTCGTCGTGAAGGAACATTGTTCTTCAGCTTCTTTTGTGAGAGGCCTTATGTGCTTGGGAATGTTCCATTTATAATCGCGATGAAGGATATCACTGAACTCGACTATCAGCATAACAGGAATCCAAGATACCAAGTGATGACATTGGCCATGGGGGAGCCATCACGTACAATTTGCACATACATGCAAAGTTCGCCAATAATAAGTCATAGAAGCGGCCTCCTTGTTCACATAAAGATCATGGAACCAAGCCCTAGGCCGCCCTTGTATCGAGCCGAGTTTAACGTCAAGCTGAATAAAGTAGCGCTTGAAAGGAGGTTGACGTGGTATTCGTAGTGCATTGGTCCACCTGAAGTACCCGGGCAGGTCTACAATCTGTGACTTCAAGAAGGGCCCGGGCGAGCAAGGTATGTCTCTTCAGGTGGTATCTTGTGTACATGAGAGTAGCCCTTGATATCAAATACAAGGCATTAGTGAAACTCTGATCTGAAACATACACCGGTGCACTTACATATATTCCATCTGTGAACGCCTGCTATGTCCTTGATTAATCGTGTGGGCTTTATATTCTTGCGAAACCCACCACGTTGAGTCGTCAAGATACAAGATGCACTAGATGGCTGGTCGGTGCTCATGCAAAATTTCATGGCCTGATCCAGAGCACATAAGAGATATGCCTGGCGGATTCGAAGGAAGCATGGCCATGTGTTAGTTGTCATGCAGCGTGGACGAGGTCAAGAGACTGCGAAAGTGTTTGGGAGACCTTGTCGTACCACGTACTGGAGTGGGGCTTGACCCAACATGAATGAGGCTTGACACGACATGGTTGGGGTTTGATGTGATAATGCGGAATATAGAGGCCGCATCGGACTTGAGAAGGTGATGCAGACAATCCATTTCCGAAGTAACGAGGAAAACGGACGAATGCTTGGTCGAGTAGTTCATGTCACCTGTAAGTTTCCAGCCTGCATGTCCAATAAGGATTATACACTACAAAAAAGGTGACTGGTTCAGGAATGAAATAAATAGATAAGAATACATGGGTGTTGGCTGCCTGGGCTTATTGTCTACTACGACGGATGTCAGCAGACAGCCAAGGAAAGATCATACCAGATCACCATTAAGTATACCCCTCGCACGACAATAAACCCAACAACCTCTACCCCGGCAAATCTTCACCCCAAAGCTCAGCGATGCACAGCCCACCATACTTCTAAACCCCGCGTGTACCTGAGTTTCAAGCCGAAACGCCCGGGAATCCATGATCTCTGCCGATCTGCTTCATCCGATCTGCGTCCTGAGCGTATTCTTCATCGGTCGTAGGGTACGAAGGCCAACTCTGAGGTGTTAGGATGAGGCCCTGATTAGCTTTGTCCAGTGGCTTCGTCACGACGTGGAAATGCACATGGTCGACGCTTTGCCCAGCTGTCCTGCCGTTGTTCTGATTGCCGTGTTAACTTAGCGCGCGAGTATGGAGAGAGCAAGAGCTCGTGCATGTGGAGCGTACCTGGATGATGTTGTATGAATCCTCGCCGTTCATCACTGCTATCTTCTTCATGATAGGGCCAACATCCGCGAGGAACTCATCCGGAAGTCCAGGATCTGTTAATGTCCGGGAGTGGTCTAACCCAATTGGTTAAACGCAGATTTGCCTGATTTGAAGGGGTACGCACATTTGGGTATGATGAGGGTGTGCCCATGAGAAACTGGAGGCTTCGCGAGAAAGGCGAGACTTTTAAAGTGGCGTTGGTGATTGAGCGGTGATCGGGTGATGTGGCGGCGTACCTGTGTTTCGTTTCGTACACCTTGAAACTCGGGGCTTCCCCGGTGACGATCTTGCAGAATATACAACTGGAGATATTTTTTGAGTGAGAGAACGAGATAGATATTGGGTTTGGAGCGTACTTTGGGTCGAGCTTCGTGTCATGTGGAAGGGTGCCCGCGTCTACGTTTATCGCTTCGGAATCTGCACTCGACTTTCCGGAGGAAGGATCCATCGAATGGGAGGTAGTAGTTGGTAACTATTGGAGACGATAAGCTTCTAGATTGATGTAGGTCGTGATAAAGGCACGACGGGTCCTGCAAACTATAAAGACAACTTACCATTCCCTCTGTATTTATATGCGATTCTACAGGAACAATGTCTTCCGTCGGATGGTCGGTTTGAGGGGTGAAAATGGAAGCGAGCAAAAGAACGGCACTGGCCAACAGGAAGGACTTGTGGCGCGAGAGGGTGTCCATTGTGGAAGATAGTGCTTTGGATCTTGTTATCGCGCATTTTGGAAAGCTGTGGGTTGCGGTGTTGCACTGCCTTGTTCTTGGGCGTCTCAGACGGAAGGTTGCCACGTCTCTGGCCCAAGCTTCACTGAACGGCCAAATGCTTTCCTACGCAGTTGGTTACTTTTGTTTTATTGTTCGCTGCCGCTCTATTATCATGAATTTGTTTTGTTACCTTGCGGATTCGTACAGGACAAGAGAGATTTATAGACGCTGTGTCGTTCATGCCGAACGAAAACGACTCCTTTTTGACAGAGACACGAAAACAAACACGAAAACAACGACAAAAACGACTCGAAAACGCTACTGTGAACGTGGCTAATGCTGTACAGCTCTTATCATGACGGATGAAACGTTGAAGCCTTGAAGGGTTCAAGCGGAAAGTGCGGTATAACTGTAGCCCATAGCCATCTATGCATCAACTCACAGCTACCACGACCGAACCGCGAGATGGTCACAATATATGATCATCTTGTACAAAGTATCACAGCACATATTCAAGCTGAAGTACGAACTTTGATACATGGTATTCGGGGCAGATTGCTTAGCCGAGGGCGAATGTCGTTAATGTCGACCACTGCACCGAGCTAGAATATATTGGCACGTCCACCATGAAAGACGTCATGAACCGCCACCTGGGCTGGTGGGTATCTAGAATTCTTGTGTCGGAGTGGCAAACGAATCCGGTGTTCGATATGAGAACAAGAACAGGGTCACTGCAGTTCCAAACGCCAGGCTAGTTAGGCCTCTTGAGTCATAGATGGACAGGAAGGTGGCCAGAGCCACAGACGGCAAATAGAACATGACAAGCGCAGCGAGAACGGCGCAGCTGAGCGCTGAAGTCTATTAATAGGTCATGACGTCGCATGAGGATAGAATTTCGGAGCAAGTATTGGCCGGGGAAAACATGCTCACCACGTTTTGTAACAGCCTCCATCACAGCCAGCATGCAGTGGTCAAAAAAAATTACATGCTGGGTGAAAACGTAAAACTCTCACGTATTCCAGCCACTCCACAAGAAAAGGTGGAACGAACGACTATACAAAAATGGCTCCCAAAAACAAGACTCATGCAAAAGATCCTTGCGCCTTGCACGACGCCCCAACCCAATTCTTTAGTCTTGGATAAAGGATTCGGGTCGAAGATGCTGCGCCTCCCCCAAATCGGCATATACCTCGTCCCATCGTTCGTTTTGTTCATATGACACGCATGACATTGAACAAAAGGGGAAGGATACCAATCTGGATGGAAGTATCATCACTATGTTTGACCGAGACCCTAGTTGAAACGTTGACACATGACGCCCTCCTACTAGGCCAATGCAGTATAGCATGTGCATCGACAGTCAAATGACTGTCGGAGGATATGACCGGGCGAGAGAAATCAAACAAGACTGTAAAGATAGGTATCGAGTACTGATCCACAGGACGGATGTGTTGCAGAAGTCTATACAAATTGCAGAAAGTCAGGAACCAGACGGGCAGGCCTGGGATACATGGCGCCAGAGGCTGATTTTGACAGCCAGGTTTAATTGATATGCCGTGAACTTATCCCCGACTCGACTTGAGGAGAGAGAGAAAGGGGGGTAGTGAATGACCTAGGGACTACTGAGATTGAAACCCAGAGCTTGAGCTTTCGACGCCAGAGTTGATTCGGTAAAGTTCGGAGCACGAGCACACTCGGGTCGAAGACTGTCGATCATCTAGCAGTTCAACACGTGGGTCGATATTCCAATGACTTTTGGAGGACATGATAACGCAACGAACGCTTAGCGAGCCGCAAAGAAAAAGGATGTGTTGAGAAGTGTTGCACAGGTGTCCATGATGATTGCTGAGAATCAGGGAGCGTGCGGGCCAGTCGCCTGGGATGCTTCCAAGGATTAATGATGTGTCAGAAGGAAAATAGGTGGAGGCAGGGACGAACCTCATTGTGAAAGACGCTCGTCAAAATAACCCAAATGCCGCATGCAGCTTGGCGAGTAGCTTGATGGTCATCTGCAGAATACAAATTCGTCCTCCATAATAGCAAGTGTCAACTTGAGTTCTTTGTCATTCAGCACCTCCTGACACTGGAAAATGAGCGATGAAAGACCACGCCGAACACTTGTTCGCAGGGACAAAGAAACGTCGGGTGGAACCAATGACTGGAGTGACCGAGGGTCGTCAATTTGAAGTGAGCATCTGGGGTCTCAGACTCTCGCAGTGATATTTGAAATATTACTCCGTGCCAAAACCCTGACCAGGCACATAGTACTTACTACTCATCAGTTATCACTCCATACCATCCATTCATCCCAAAAACCAAAACTTACCAAAATTACACAGCAGTTTCTACCCGGGAACCTTATATCCCGTCAAATCTTCGATATGGCTCTTAATAACCAGCATGCCCGCCACGCTTCGTCGGATTCGTTTCTCAATCTCTCACCTTTTCTCACAGTAGCTACGCTACCAGTCTCTACGTCAGTCTCTCCGCTTCGTATCCTCTTCTCTCAATTCAATATTAGTCCTTCTCTCATCTCTACTAATATTGAATTATCTTCACCTAATTGAGCGACGATACAAAGGCGGCGCATAAGGAGCGCTTGATGGATCTTGTTTATTTTTTTCCTCTCACTCTGAGAAACGTACCATTACGCACCCGAAAATTATAGACGTTCTCCTTACAGACCCTCAATAAATCACTCATGAACCCTACCATAATGGATATAGCGTCCTCTGAAACCCCGAGTCCGTGTAAGGTGGAGGAAATGGGGGGGCGGAAGATAGGCATTAAGGAGGCTAGGGGGTACAAGTATGTCATTGATGTGAGTCGTCTTCTTTCCTTTTAAAGTTCGTTTTCATTGCATTGCTTGGTGTGGATTGTACTCATGCGTTGGCAGGTGGACGTGGAGGCTCATGACGAATGATTCAGTTGTGTTCAAGTCTACGGTGTATCCCAAATGGTGCGTCCTTTCTTTTTCTCGTTTGTCGTGTTGTAATTCCTAACGTTTTATTTCTTCCCTCATCTTCTAGAAGTATCGACGAGATCCACGAGAATGAGCAGCAACTTCTCTATTTTGTCGCTGAACAGGGTCACTGCAAGTTCAAATGACTGAGGGATTGGCTTACGATTCGGACACAATGGTTGCAATTGATTCAAAACACTCCTGCAGATTCTGCCGAAATTTCCGCAATTTCATTTCTGCCATGCAGGATATAAACGCTGGTCGTCGTCCTACAGTATTTCTTCATCCTCAGAGATATCATCCAAATCTCCCCTCAGAGTATTCCATACCACATCGCACAGAAAATGCGTTTTTGCCTCCTCGCCGTTGTCGTTGCTTTGACAGTGTCTATACATGTCAACGCATGCGCCGGCCCCAATCAACCATGCATTACGCAGGGGGATTGCTGCAGTCACTGGTGCTACTCTTATGTGAGTATGAGCAGGTCGCTGTGCAGCGCAACCAGGGATTCAACCACATGACTCACCTGCACGCCTTAGGGTCCGAAATTCAATTACTGCAGGGGTTAGTCACTTCAAATTTGAGCTGGCAGCCCTGGATCAGGAAAATCCCCTGGCACAGAGCTAGACAAAGATAGTCAGAATTATATATCATGTGAACTTCGATAAGAAGAAACGTGTTACATTGTTCTTGAACTTCGCTACTTGTCCATTGACGAGGTGCCGCAGGTCTGAACTTTGGAATAAGAATAAGATGAACACTTCGGTGAATATTTGCGACAGGATTAATGCTGGCAACTCTTTCACCCGATTGCACAAAGCAGCTGATTTGGAACATTGCATGGTTCAAATCAGGTGTAAGGGGAACAGCCCATGATAGTGTCATAATCATTACACCCGTAAGTCAAATATGATGCATGAACGTGCATGAACTGTTACTCTACCTGTGCCTCGGTGAACCCTTAAGATTCAAGAATCCCTAATTGCATGCTCAGATAGGTTTCTCAGCCCAGCTGCTAGGGTACTCACTAATGTCTTTACCCACATAATTACCGACCCCACACACGATACGTGTTATAGCCATACACCTTCTACCTCTTCAATCGCATGCATACTTATAGTCATTTCAACTTCGTAGGGTAACAGCGTCTAAAACGGCCGACGGGAACGGCGGACTGGTAGGGGTACGCCTCACACCAGGGCATTCACGTACCCTGAGATGAAGCGGGGCACAGGGCCCCAGGACTAGATGGTCATAGAGTAACTCTAATAGGACCATTATGTAATGGATACTACTCCTTCAAGTTGCACGGCATATTATCGTTGCTAGGCAACAGTACTTCGCTGTCCATGTTGCAATAGTCATTCTCTCTCTTACACGCACTGACAGATGACTTGATCACATTGGGGGACATGTCTAAGTGTGGATTAATGCTGCACCAGTGGGTCGGGTGTGTACTTCCTCTTGACACCCCAGAGCATGCATAACTCGGACATTCTTATCTCAATCCACTGCTAACAAGATTGCGTGCTGATAGTTCCCCCATCCCAAATTCTTAATCAACTCCTCTGACAGGGTTGTCATCAGGACGCAACGAGCGTGCGCTGTGGCACACGCATCGTACGGTCCGGAGGCTAATTTTAGCATGGCCCATCTGCACTATCCAAATAACGAGTGTTGTGGGACGCTGACAATAGTGAGGAAGGGGAAACGCATTAAGTTTGTGCGAGGTGGTATGTACTGCTGACTCTGTCGAAAATATCTTTGGAGTGAAGTTGACGGTAAGAATATGGCTTGCTCTTAGACTCCAAATAACGCTTCGTATTTTAGAAAGAATTGTTTTTGACATCGTGGTTTAGGCAGAACCCTTCCCTTCCGGTCACCTCGCGAGAAGGTGAGCTAGTGGTTCTTGCGGCCTAGTGCTGCCGCATCCCGGTTCGGGGTTCAGAGCTACCCAGAACTGGTTCGGTCGTATTCGAACTTCACTCTACATTAATTTCCAGAAGCGAACCACTCATACAAAAGGATGTTACCTCAAGAATATCAAAAGCGAATTCCGAAGACTCACAGTATGTAAACGAAAGCGCCCTCTCGAAAGACAAAAACGATAGGAGAAATCCCCACATCCTCCGAGTCAAATTGCCTCTGCCTCGTAGTGGACTTCAATGCGATGTACCATGACCATAACCCAAACTCGATGAATAACGCGCCCCGAAACCACTGTACGTGCCAGCATGATGTCCAGCATAGGACTCCGTCTGACCAACGTGTGGTATGTAAGGGGAACGGCAACCTGTTATTATTAGTACTTGCACTTCCGATTTCAGTACCCGCCATAGACGAAGACTCAGGCAAGTTATCATACCCTGCTACAGCTATGTAATGAAACTATACACCTACATGTGGAATAACCTTGGGCCAAGCTACTGTATCGTACACACCGTGAGGTAGCGATCGTAAGCTTAGCATAATAAGTGTAATTATTGTAAGACGTGCAAGAACGTATATCATGCCGAGAATTCCAATAATCTTCATGAAATGAGCGGAAAGGAAACATAGGATTTTACCCGATAACCCTTTGTACTCCGATGGTTGCATGTACAGATACCAGAGGATCCACATCGTTAACGATAAACATGTCTTCCAAACGAAAGCCACACGCCACAATACCAGCTCGGCGTGGCTCGGAAACGAAAAATTCCAGCCCAGGGCATGTATCGCTGCAAACAGCACCCCACTGACACCTCCAACGAGGAATGTAGTCATACTCTGAGCCGAGGTACTAGACCGCCGAATTTTGTGATTAGATAGTAGACACAGGAGCATTGGAATATGTCTTTTGCTAGAATACAAGCCAATTAGAACAAGTTCTGCAAGGAATAGAGATTATAACGTACTCGTTGGCTAAGCAGTCGTGTGGTGGAGGAACATTCGAGTTCCAATGAACAATATGGGGACGTCGTACATCCTTCGGCTTCCGCAGCCATAGTAAACCATAAGTATCTATGGTCAGACAAACTACAGCCAGAGTGTCGATTTCAAGTAATGTGCTGGGGAGGTGTTGTGTGTAACGGGCGATGATCTGGATGAGGAACCACGCCAGCTGAAGAATGGTGACACATCTGGATAGTATATCACCCTTGCTTCGGTCTTCTATGTCTGCCCTCGTGATGATAGGCATCTGCACAGATCCCGCGCGATGTCAAGCCATCAGTTTTATGTTGATTTCTGTCTGACTGAAGAGTCCGAGTGACAGACCTGCACTTGACCCTTCGCTTGAATTTGAGATGTTATCGGGTAACAGAACTGCCGAGCTGCTCTGCTGCATGGCTTCACGGTCGCCGTAGAGCTGGGCGCGTTGCGCACCCAAAGCATCATTGAAGTCCTTGGCAACTTGTCGAGCACACATGAGTTGCCATGCTGCCCAGGCGGCCATGAGTTCGGGGGCGAAATACGCAATGAACATAAGGAGTAGACGACGAATGACAATAACAAGTGCCCCATCACCCATACGCGGAATGTCCGGAGGGACAGCAGTCCATGTGCACGCAAACAAAGTTAAGGCACAGCTCGACATAATCATCCACAGGGTTCTAGCATAGGGAAGTTGCGAGTCGCTGTAAACGAATGGATGGATACAGGTATCGTTGAGACCTGGGAGTAAAACTACTGAAGCACGAACAATTGGAACGACAAATAGGACAGCGCAAAGCGAGAGGATCATAAACTTGAACTTGAGGGCACAGTATGATCGTCTGATCAAATATTCCTACCCCTTTTGATGCGTGTATCGATCTATCCATAATGGGCCGGGCTGGCGCGCTTACCCTCAAAATTCAAGGGTAGTGATGGCACAGGCGCCTCGAGGTCATCATCTGAGCCACCGATGCGCGCAGAGAATGTGGATATGCGGCGGTGTTGTAGAGCATGTCCAATGCAGTAAACCTTGTGATAAGACTCACGTGAGTTCACAATCTCTGCCTCGCATGATAGCATGTCCACGAATACTATAAGTCGCTCACGAACAAAGTGCCGAAGTTCATGATCCGGGCTCGGGATACTAGAGAGACAGTGTTGGTGGCGCTACGTTCGTAATGAAGATGCGGTCCGGGCTCATCAGGGTCCTTATAGGCTTGAACTTGCCACTTGCGGTGTACTTTTTGCACGGCCATCCACGCTCCATCATGTGTAAGTTGTGGCACCCACTGATGGTTTAAGTACCAATCAAAAACTCTCAACTAGTCAAATGCAACACGAGTGCCAAGTGAGATACTGAACTTATCTCATACAGTTGTGACTTACCACTGAGAATGCGGCAGCACTACGCAACACCGTGACAAGTAAGTTTGAGTTTGATGCGGCTTCGACACGGAATGAATGAAGTCTGATGCGGCATAGTAGGCTTGAAAGCACCATGGAGGCATGGATTCATGGGATTTGAGCGGACGCGATGCGGACATCCTCACGATGCACACACAACTAGCCTGATTTGTGAAATTAAAATCAATGTCCACAGCTGCCGGCATCAGCTGGTAAAATGACACGTTCTTTATTTAATTTCATCGGAACTTGTTACACTTACGCGGACCGCACAGAATGTTCAACTTGCCTAGTACTGCCAGAACTATTACGGCGCCGTCATCTTTGTTTGAACTTGGGGCCCACGGTAAAGTAGTCCCACAGCTACTTTCATGTCAATGAACAGACTTCGTTTTAACTCGTTTACCTCTGTAGCTGGAAAAAACAGAAGCACGCATCTGCTTTGCTCGTTTGCTTCTGTAGTTGAAGCCATTCAACACTTCGAGCTTGAGTGGTCTAGTTATGCAAAGGTAATCCTAACGTTCCATGTAGACCTTTGTGCCTCTATCCGTTTCTCAATCTGCATATTATTCCATCAATAACAGCACCAATGAGAAAGCGGAAACATAATTCACCAGTGTGTTTCTACGTGCAAATTTAACGGCCTCTGTGGGGCTAATCTCCATTATGATAGCACATTTGAGCACCATCCGGCTGATGTTACGAGGTCCAAAGGGTGAGTCATCAAGTGTGCAAAGAAAACCTCCCACTCACAATTGAAACGCATTTATCTTCTTTATCGCAGCAGTCACTGGTCTGTGTGCAAGGCGCTTCCCTTGGTGCACACGCACTGACAAACGTTATAGATGTTGTCAGAGCAATAATAACGGTGAGGAAGGCGAAACGCATTGTTTGTGCGAGGTGGGTGGACGGTAGAAAGATGACTTGCCTTTATACTCCCGAAAATTAACGCTTATTTTAATATTTCAACAAAATGAAACCTATCTCTCACGAGAAACGATTCCTGCCCAAGTGTTGCCGTCGACATGACTGCTTTCCAGCTTGTCCAATTAGAAGAATAGTAGAAGCACAGACCTGCTGTCGAGGTACTTGTGCGAGGTCGGTCCCTATGCTATTCAATACTTTGAGCTTTGATACTACTTACCCTCATGAGGTTGTACCGCTGTGACTTGTGTTTTCGATGCACCTGTGACTCCGGAGTCCCACGTAACCCTCTTAATTAGAGGTGGATGTTGGTTGCCTGGCAGGGAGATACAGCAATTAGTATTCATTTGAAAATGACCGGCTAGGAGGCGAGTGATTTCGCACCCCCTGTGATATAACCCAGGGATGTTGGTTGCCTGGGCGCCTCTAAGTACAAGCGATCATGGTATTAGCGCTCGGGTGGATAATTGCTGGGTATTTGGTTCTATCGGCGGCTATTACCACGTGCACAACTTCGGACAACCACTCGTTCGGACAATTTGCAATATCTCACTCAACTCTACTTCAAATCTATAAAGTAAGGGAGAACGGTGAGGGAAGGGACGGACGCTCGCGTGGTTTTCGCTTGGGTCGCTTGGGCCGCTAACGGACGCTAAATGCCATGTGGTTTTCGCTTACCTCGCTTAAAGCTCGATTTGGAAACTCGCGTGGCTGTCACGTGATCTCGAGGGTCCGCTGCCCGTTAGGGCAGCACGCATTTAAAAAACATTTATTATTTATGAAATTCAAATTATATACACACAAAATTTAACTACATAAAGAAGAAAAGTCAATTGAGAAATGGGAAATGAGAATGGGAGAATGGGGGAGATGGGAGAACAGAGAAAATGAGGAAAATTGCAGAACAAGAGAACAGAGAACAAGAAAACAGGAGAAACAGAAAATGGAAGAATGGGAAAAATGGGAGAACAGGAAAATGGGAAAAGGGGGGAAAGAGGAGGATGGGAGGACCACAGAAGGACCACAGAAGGATGGGAGGACAACAGAAGGATGGGAGGAGGACAACAGGATGGGAGGACAACAGAAGGACAGGAGGATGACAGAAGGACGGGAGGATGACAGAAGGACGGGAGGACGACAACAGGATGGGAGGACGACAACAGGATGGGAGGATGACAACAGGATGGGAGGACGACAACAGGATGGGAGGATGACAACAGGACAGGGGGATGACAGGACCGGAGGACAAGTGAGATGGGATCAACACATTCAATTTTACTTTTACTTTTCTCATCTGCACAAAGAACAGGGAAACAGGAGAATGGGAAAATCAGAGAACTTATGAGGGGAACATAATTTGCTACAAAGTGCTTTGTAGCACTGTAGCGCAGTATGTCCTGCTGAGAACAGGAGGGTTCAATATATCTGAATGTAATATATCATGCTCAACTTGATGAATACAATATAATTTATTTCAAAACCTAAAATAATTATTAAAATACCCAAAGTAGGATGAAGCCGAAGGCCAGGAAGCCAACAAAGAGCGCGAAGCGCTCTTTTTGCTTCCTGTGCCGAAGGCGCAACGGGTGTGTGCTAGTCATATTGATATGTGGTCGAAGTCACTTTGACCACATATCATTATACGCTTGTAATACACTGTTGCGAAGTTGAGTCTTTGAAATTGGTCAAGAAATGATCTGTTGAGCCAAAAATCACGTCTGCCTGTCACCAAACCGAGTGCACCGTAGCAGAGTTTCAGTTCTGCCGGCAGCCGAACCACTCAAACTGCTTGAATCTTGGACAGCATATGGGGCGCACTCGGGGCAGGGGTATCCATTCCCCAACTCCAAGCAAAGTGGTCCAGCGTGAGTTGCGGATTCAAGAAAACGGCCCCCCTTGCTGGAGTTCAAGGAGGAAATATAAGAGCTATAGAGCTGCAGCAAAAGCTCATCAGGTGAGATATCCACCATTCATTGATACGAAGACACTGAGTCCTCTTATTTAGATTTCTGTTCAGACTCGTGGCACTAGACTCCACCAGTCCACTTAATATGCTGCCAGGAAGCGCCAACTATTAAGCCCACCGCAGGAAGCAGCATTGCTGGATTGGTGTCACCTCAACTCAAGCTTTACAACTCCTCTCCATGCTCGTGCTTTGCGCACTCGTGTGTTCGAGATATGCCGTAGACGCCCTGGCTACAATTGGGTGCACCGTTTTGTACGCCGTCACTCTTGTCTCGTCATGGCAAAGCCACGAGGACAGCCAGGACTCTGCACCTAATATCAGCGCTGCTTAGGCAACTGCGTGGGTATGTGTAACCCACTGTGGGGTAAAAACAACATTCGTTTCGTACAGCTGATCGATGACAATTACAAAACAGTCTGTAAGCGACTATTTCTTTTCAGTTTGAGGTTTCTTATATGCGTGATGCAGCAAGTAGAGCAACTGAAAAGCCCTTTCTTTCTCCAGCACGACAGCGGCCACATCGGATCTAATCGATCTACCGAAGTCTATGAGGCGGAAACTCTTGACAGAGTGCGGCCGCTCGATTGGCCACTCCGTGGGCTTGCCCTGCTGCCACAGGATGTTCCGCGCTGCGAATGACCCATGCAACCACCCTGCATGATGAAAGCGCAAGACAAGCGACGCGCACTCTTGCTTGTCGTCCTGACACAACTCATTTGGATCTATCTCGCGGCCACAGTACTCCAGGAGCAATATCGGACTCAAATAACGAGGTCGACCCCAATATTTGCTGTCAGTTGGATCGTCAGGTGTGTAATACCCGTAAAACTGTGGGCAGACTGCCCCAACGGGGATAGGATCGTGTATTGGGGGTATGACATTATACCCGTTCCAGTGTTGGAAGAAGTGGTCAGGGAACGATTGATAATTTGCTGCCTCTTGAGCGAGGTGCAGGTCGTGTTCGATCGAGAGTTTCGCAACAACACCAACTATAACGGTGCGTGGAACAGATCCCGAGCCAAAACTTGAACTCTCGTGATCGCATTGTTTTTCCGAGGGGCTTTGCCACTTCACAGTAGTACGGATGCGAAGGATTGGCCCAGAGTAGGATGCGGTGCGGATGACCCTGGGAGGCTCAAGGGTGAATATTTCTTCCTCGCTATATTCTTCGCTCTGTTCACTTTCCTCGAGATCTTTTTCTTCACTGCCATCGTCTTGCTCTAGTTCCATTTTCCCTTTCCCCTTGACCTCTTTCGGACCGGACCTCAGCGCAGATGGTTGATTGTCGTCTACCTCCATACCAGTGTCAGAAGCTTCTTCCTGCCCATCTACGTCCATTTTGACATCGGTTTCGGCACCCTCTGTTGTCGCTGCATCACTAGCAAAGTCCGCAGGGCGACTCCCATTCGAACTCAGTGCCTCATCAGCATCGGTGGACTTTTCCCTGCCACCCTTAGTATCCCAATGTGGACGTAAAACGTATGACCCAGTTACTTCTGGAAAATAATGCTCCTGGATGGTGACATGACCAGCTGTTCGCTTCGTACCAGAGGCTTGCGAGGGCTCTCCACCCTGCATTGTTTCTTCATGTTTTCCCGCCTGGTCTTTGAAGAGTGCCTCCCATTCTCCCTCGTCTTTCAATTTCTGGACCTGTTGGCGGACATCCTCTTCCACACAAGCTTTGCACAGACGAGCTTCCACAAAAAGGTCACGCGGAAGCTCCCACTCCACACTATGCACGATTGAATGATGGCCGAAGCCCACTGCACGAGGTGAAAGGTAGAGATGAGCTTCTTCCACTTGCGTCCTTTTCCGGGGTCGCGGAGGGAGTAAGACTTCAATCAATGGCTCTTCCGTCGGTCCCTCCTTGTCAGTGGGGAAGATGCGCAACACGCTCTCTTTCTTCGCTGCCTCTTCTTCTGCCATCTCAGCCAGTCTCTAGTGCCTCCGAAGCGACCTCATTACCTTTCGGCGAAAGGGAGAGGGCATAGGTTCGGACGATGTCTCCTTCATTGGAAATTTTGGAAAGCCATTGAGTCTTACGGTCAGAATCGCTCTCCTTGACGGTTAATATGTTCCAAGGGTCATGAACGTGGATCTTTTGAGGAAGAAGGTGCAAAGGAATACGTTGTTGAAGTGTCGGAGTCTCGTGTGTGAAAGGGATGAAAGGATATGGGGAAGGGTAATGGTCGGGATGGAAGGGCGAGTCGACATTTGGCAATGGCGCTGCGGTATCGCCCTGGAAAAAGCCGCAGATGGAGGGGATTCTATCCCTCCAGCTGATGACAAGGGCGACAATATCGGGAGGGAGCAAGAAGAGGAGGATGCAGTTTCCAGCGCGTCGCTCGATGAATATACATCGGAAAGTGAAGGCGAAATGTCATCAGAAAACAGTGCAGACCATCCGACGGTCGGCTATAGCTGACAACAGACCAGCCTGTCTTTTCTTTTTTTCTGACTTCCTTTCGACTGGAAAAGTGATTGAATACGCCCAATGTGACGCGCACATCATAGCACCTGATCAGTTCCCCGATGTCAACTACCGGCACTTCCTTGGGGTCCTCCTCCTCATCGGCCGAACAGAGTTCATCCTCTGCTATGAGCTCACCATGTTGGCGCACCCATTTCGCAAGTCTGCTGCCTGTGGAGATGGTGAGATAGTTCTTCACATCTGGGGCACGTAGAACCCAGTAGAAGTCGTAGAGTGTTGCACCCCACAAATCAACACCGTTGCTAGCCTCCTTTCCCCGCAATGGAGATGCTGTGATGGTGTTTCCTTTGGGATCACGAGGTCAGCAGCGGAAGACAATGCGATTCTTGCCATATCCAGTGCAGTTTTTGTCGTTATCGACTTGTTCTTGAATAATCTTGGGAAGTTTGTGGTAGTCAATCGTGTTGAAGTCTGCGTATTCGGCTCGTATGCCTGAACCTAGGCTACAACAAAATAGTTTTACAGTGTGCAATAATAACAATGATAATGACATACCGCTCTCCCTTTTCATCGTTGTCTTTGGATTCCTTGTGTGGTGGTCCCCCAGCCTGAGCCTGAGTAGATTCCGCATCGACAGCTTCTGCGACACGCTGTTTGGCCTTCCGAGTGTTCAAGAACCCCCGCTTCATGGTGATATTCAGGATGGGCTACCGATCTTAGGGGGTGTCACGATTTTGCGACAGTCGCAGAGAGTTGTCGCGATAGTCTGACTCAGACTCAGACTCAGAAGATTCAAGAAGCACTATCGATATATATCACTGTGCCATGTGCCTCGAAGGTTTCCTAAATGGTCGCACCCCCATAGTTCTATGTCGCATTTCCAGTAGAGTCACGGGTTCATCTGGACTATGCCAATGGATACTCGATGATTCGGAAACAACTGGAGACCTGTGGGATAGATATGGCATGTTGTTCAAATGGAAGTTCCTACTGCATTCGTTCGAGCCTAGGAGGCGGGTTGGTGCGAGAATATGATGGAAGGGAGTGAACTCTTCAACTCATGCGTTCGTCTTCTGACTCTTCTCGAACTTCATCGACGCCCAAATCGACACCTTCGTATCTGTACTGCCTGCGATCAACCACCGAGCACGCGCATGTTTTTCCTCTGTGGTCATTTCGTCCTCGTCACCACAAGACTCATCCTCCCTCAAGTTCCTATGAGTTACCAAAAGGTGGATCCATAGGACACGCAAACGTAACCGCCTGACATCCATGTTTATGGTAAGCAAGGGTGCACGACTTGAAAGTCTTCGTGGAGTATAACCGCACCCTGATCATGATCAGGTTTGTTACAGCAAAAAAAAAATCCAGTCGTCTCACTTGCCATCCCATCCCCCTGTCGTACAAATTCTTCCGTCGCCGCGTATGGTGATAGCGCCGTTTCCTGGATGTTTGGTTTTGAATACAGTTCCTTCTGATGCCTTTTGCTGGGTCTTATTTTCAGAGCGTCAGCAAGTAAATGAACGCAAAGTTACTCAAACACCGCGACCACAAGATCATCCCGTCCCACCAGATGATCCGCCGACATGGTCAACGCAAACGTGCAACCTGCAGAAACAGCCATCGCCATCACTTGGAACGATAAATTCTGTCAGATCTCCTTCGCAAGAGGAACAGTCACATATCTCAACGGACCTGATTCCACGTGAATTTTGGATTTCCACAAGACTTCCTGTCCGTAGCCCTCAACATTGTTTATTCTCAGGTGCAGTGCACTTCCGCAGAACGACGCTTCCGTCTTCGTACGCGCACAAAAGGCGCAGCTCATTTGTAGACATAGATGACGATGGAGCAGGTTTAAGAGCGTAAAAGAGGTGCACTGACATGATGATTCCTGGTGTCGCAAAAGTGTCTTGTGGATCGCCTATGGCCACGTGCAGCCTTTGACGCGATGGAAGTGTCCAGATATCCGCCTGACAAGTTCATAGTACATACTGAGGTCACTTGTATCAGGTATGTCCACCAGAGCTGATTCTACGAGGTTCGGAACAGCGAGGAGACCTTCCTGCTTAGTCGCTCCTAGGAAAGAACCTGCAGTAGTTGAAGGCATTTACATCCAGAGAGTAACATATCGTGGTGTCCTTGTCTGATAGAAGCGGATTCTTCAGGTCGTGCCCAGATGTGAATTTTATTGTCTCTCCCAAGTCTAGTCATCAAGTATCACAGATGTTCTAGGAGAATCAGGATAACCACTCACGTCATGATATGAGAATCCCAATCTTCAATGCCCAGCAGTGAGTTGGTGTGAGCTTTCCTTGATGAGAGCGGTCGCAATGAGCCCAACTCCAGAGTAGAGTCTCTCGTCCGTCGAAATAAACAGGATGCTCACTGCGTTGGAATGCCAGCGGAGCAGATGAGTAGGTGAAAGCGATGGCAGAACCATATACTCTCTGCGCTCCCCGGCAGGACTGCCAATGTTATGGTTCGAGGTACGATAACATAAGTATCTCACTGAGCTGGATAGCAATTTGATTATGCTTACTTGAAACTGTCGCACACACCAAAACAAAACAAAGTGAACCAAAACGATACCGCGATACCGTATAAATAATCCTCCCATTATAAGCATGTCTATATAGTACTGAAGTACACAGTGAGTGAAGTATCCAATCCAGAAACCTGAAATGTGAAGCGTTTTATCAATGCAGGCACAACGCTGGAGTATTATCACCAAAAATAGATATTGGCTCATGACTCCCCCATAGGACTAATGGGTATCGAGAGTTCTTCCGCAGAGCTAGCAAGCGCATCGTAGAGATAGATGACGCCGAATATGAGGAAGAGGGTTGCACCTCCTAGGGTTACTGCAATGCTGGATCAGTTCTGATGACTACAGACAGGAAAATCGAAGCAAATGAAATAAGCAAGTCAGCAGGTAAAATGCAGCAAGCATAGCAGAATGACATGCGCGCTGTGGAGTAATCATAGACACCAAGCATCGAATAAATGCAAGAGGGTATGATGGTTTTCCGAGGCAAAGGACAATAATTAGGTGGAAATGAATGACTCACCATGCTTGACCGAAATTTTACTCGATACGTAACGCCCTCCCATGACAGCCAGCGCTGTACAACACGTATGGCCAATGACCGTCCCTAGCGTCACGAGATACACATTCTAAAAACACGCTTCGTCAACAGTCTCCGAACCAAAAAAAGAGAGCTCACATCAGCAGCACCTAAAGCAATCGTAGCAATCTGACTCCTGTCCCCCCACTCCCCAAGGAAAGTAAGCACAAAGGACTGCACGAAAACAGGCCCCAGGATAAGACTGCAAAAATTCCTTACGCCTTCCGTGACACCCGAACCCAAATTTTTATGTTTTCTCGTACTTGGAGATGAAGGAACCACTTCCCCCTCCTCAAGCCGTTCAAGCGGAATAATACCTCCCGCCTCAATCTCATCCTCGTCTATCTCCTCTTCCGCCTCTCTCATCTCTTCCTCAACCTTTTCCCTTCCCTTGCCACCCATCTCCCTTGCTTCCATCATCATCTTACTCCCGAAGACCAGGAACAGCACCCCAGCCATAATCTGAGTCCATTTCTTGGGTAAAAGCGTGGGCAGGATGTGACCCAGTGAAGCTGAAAGAATAGACATCACCACAAGGGAACCAAGAGCGCCTAGGAAGACGACGAGGCGAGGATGGCGCATGGAAAGAATGGCGGCGATGAAGAAGGTTTTGTCTCCAATTTCAGAGAGGATGATTGTCATGAAGGAACGGATGAGGGCTTCCACTGAGAAATCGGTGGGAGCGGTGGGTAGTTGTGTTGACATCTTGATTCTTGAAGGGGAATAAGATTAGGTAGTGAATAGGGAGGATGAGGTTTACTTACCGTGTACCAGATAGTAGGTCTGGTCTTGGAACCTTTTGTTTGAGAAGCGTGTGCTGCACGACTATTATGAACGTTTTATATAAAGGCAGGTAATGGCGGTGGGCAATTGAGCCCGCTTTGGGGAACCTTCCCACACTGAAAGTTTGCACCGGCCAGTGGCAGCCTGCCAATTGTGACTCAACTACAAATCATGTCAATATGATAGCGCGCTCGCCTGGTTTGTCAATTTTGATATTCGTTTAATATTGTCCATGCGACAGGTCTGAGTACGCTTCAACAAACCAGCAAAAATCAACCTGATCACAAGTCAACGAGTTCACAACACCCTCCGATACGTCGAACACACTACAAGGATGTATTCAACAACATGACGCGCGCGCGAGGGTTGACCAGGCTCCCAAGACATCGACAGCTATCTGGATGGAACCACATGGATATAACGTGTAGCTGCGAGGAGCCGTCCAGAATATATTTATATTTCAAAGTGGGTGGACATGACTAACGCATTGAATCAGTTCTTCCATTTCTACAGCAAACACGATATCACTGTATACGGCCGCGTCGTCACCGGGCCAAGCTAACGCCCACTAGTTACCAGGGCTTGGCGATAACATTCCGACACGAGTCATTCTGAACACCACATGGAGCACATCCTAGACCACCGCGTCAGAGTATGCTCTGTCCCTCGCAGCAAGACTGAATGACTAAGTAAAGATACATCGCATTTTAGCGTGCAATTGAACCCCCGGATCTTCAGGTGTCCGAATTATTATTAGTCTGGCTATCCACTCACAAATGTATAGTCTGGCCTCGTACCCTCGGATTTGACAACAGAATCACACCTAATATTTTACCCGCTCCAAGCAAGTCCGATGTCCTCGGTCTCACGTCCAACTACAATCATATGTGCGTTCAAACGTGTTGACTCTGCCTACTTGTATTGATCATCATTTTCCGTTGAACTTATTGCCAGCCTCACAACAGTTGCCCCAGTACTGCCAGAACTATTACGTCGTCAACTTTGTTTGAACTTGGGGCCCACGGTAAAGTAGTCCCACAGCTACTTTCATGTCAGTGATCAGATTTCGCTTTAACTCGTTTACCTCTGGAGTCTGAAAACCAGAAGCACGCATCTGCTTCGCTCGTTTGCTTGTGTAGTCGGAAAACCGGAAGCACAAACCTGCTGCTGAGGTGCTAATACGAGGTCGCGGCCTGCACCATTCAACCCTTCGAGCTTGAGTGGTCTAGCTATGCGAAGGTAATCCTAACGTTCCATGTATATCTTTGTGCCTGTGTTCCTGATGTGGGCAAGTGGCATTGTACCTCGATTCAACCAGTACGTCTGATTACATTCTTAGGATTGCCAGAACAAGAATTCGGTTGGCGGTTGCATTTACTACACTCCCTCGTATCGATCATAATTCCCCGTCGAACGCATTGCCAGTCTTACGGCCAGATGAATTTGTAACTCTTGATTGTCCTTATCCTAGCCTTGTGGGTGGATCGAAGATAGTGTTGCATGCGGTCAAACCACTTCGGATTACAGACCCAGGCTCTGTTTACATCAAAACTAACAAGTACCCGAATACTTGATTCACGTTGCGGCATTGCTTCTGTCCATTTCTCAATCAGCAGCCAACTGCATATTATTCCATCAATAACAGCACCAATGAGAAAGCGGAAACATAATTCACCAGTGTGTTTCTACGTGCAAATTTAACGGCCTCTGTGGGGCTAATCTCCATTATGATAGCACATTTGAGCACCATCCGGCTGATGTTACGAGGTCCAAAGGGTGAGTCATCAAGTGTGCAAAGAAAGCTACTCCCACTCACAATTGGAGTGCATTTATCTTTTTTATCTCAGCAGTCAGTGTTCTGTGAGCAAGGCGCTTCCCTTGGCACACACGCACTGACAAACGTTATAAATGTTGTCAGAGCAATAATAACGGTGAGGAAGGCGAAACGCATTGTTTGTGCGAGGTGGTAATCTGCTGAGGTCGAAAAATATCTTTGGGGTGAGGTGGACGGTGGAAAGATGACTTGCTTTTATACTCCCAAAAAATAACGTTTGTTTTAGTGTTTTGGAAGAATGATTTAGGCAGAACCTATCTCTCATGAGAAGCTGATTCCTGCAAGTGTTGCTGTCGACGACCCGGCTTTCCGGCTTGTCCAGCTGGAAGAGATACGAATTTATGATATACGGTCAAATTAAGTCCGCGGCTCCGAGTTCCGTACGCCGCAGCTTTACGCCAGAAACACCTGCGCCAATACTTCCGATTCTCTATCCACCAGTGAACTGCATGTTATTTTATCAACAACAACAGCACCAACAGGAAAGTGGAAACATAGCCCACCAGTCTGTTGCTACGTGCAAATTTACCAGTCAGGCTCCTTAATGACTCGGTGTCCAAAGTCGGGGGTAGCACTGCAACGCATACTTGACTACTCCTGATGCTCACGAGGCCCAAAGGGTGAGTCGTGAAGTGAAAGTGATGCAAAGCAAACTACTCCTGCAAGTCGAATGCAGAATGTCATATCCTGCCAGCAGTCACTGTCCTGGGCGCAACTCTATCCCTCTTTCTGACAAACCGCACTAACAGATATCATAGATGTTGTCAGCACAACAATAACGGCGAGGAAGGAGAAAATCATTGTTTGCGTGAGGTGGTATGAACTGCTGCCATGCTTGAAAAATATCTTTGGGGCGAAGTTGACGGTAGGAAGATGACTTGCTCTTATACTTGCGACAAAATGACGCTCAGAATTCCGTTTGGCATCATGTTTTAGGCAGAAAATATCCCTTCCAGTCACTTCACGAGAGGCTGAGCTAGTAACTCCTGCCTAGCGTTGCCAGCAGAACCGTTACGGCGTCACATGTCTAGGGCCCACGGTGACGTAGCCCCACAGCTACGTTCACGATGGACAAACTTCGCTTCAACTCATTTAGGCTTGAACATGCACTGACAAACATAGAAACTGTCAAAGCAATAACAATGACGGGAAACACATTTTCTGTGCGAGGTGATATGGAATGAGGGGATCTCGGATGATATACATGAAACACTGTAGGATGATGCTTAGTTTTTATATCCTGCATGTGCCTGTGGGCACGATTCTAATCACATTGAAAGAATTGTTTTCAAGTTGCTGCGATATGGCGGTAGAACTTGCAGTGAACTTGCGCATTGAATGACGAAATTGAGAAGCTGGTGCTCATTCTCGTGATTCTCGTCGATACTTCCGATATGTTGGATCCTTGTAATTTTTCTCTCACTTACCCGTTGCTCCCTCATATTGTAGTACCTGCAATTCGCCTATGCCATTAGTAGGCCGATTACCCTGCGCAGAGACAATGAGACATCTTTCGGAATTTGATTCTCATTCTTGGCATGCGTTTGGTCAAAGATACCTAGTATGATCAGCAAAAATGGCGCAGCCTGGTAAGCCATTCCCAGGCATGGCAAGATCCCAGCAAATTTCACCACGGTTAAACACACCTTGCAGACCTCTTCCCCATGCCAGATGGGCACCAGGCGGGTCAAAATCCTTCAGAATTGTGTATTTAAAAAAATATTGAGGCGCCTTGCAATGCCGGTCCTGCTTTGCCAGTCCCAAGCAGGCTGTTCATAACTCGCATGATTCGTACCAGACGAATGGCACGCTGCAATACATTGAATGGAATCTACTAGTGCGAATTTCACGATTATCCAATACAAAACAGCAAAACCACACAGGTGTGACAGAACTGTTCTATACGGGTCCGACGCCATCCGAAAGCAGGACAAAGGGTGCGCTGAGAGCAAAAATGATGGTGCGAGGGAGACATTGTAAGTGCAAGAGAAGTTGTAAGCATGAGAGTAACGTACAGAATGGGCACGAGATGATCGAGTCTGGACAACCTCGTTAGTCATTCAGGTTGCCCTAGGTCTTGCCGTGACTCGTGAGTCGACAATGTCAGTGTTGTTGACAGAACTATTTCGAGGCGGTTCTGCCAAAGCGACACTAGCAGGTCGCAGAAATGAAGGGAAATTTTTGATGGCACACCATGATACATCGATGTGAGACTGCTAGATAGCGAGTCGAAGTCATTTGCCTCCACTTCCACTTACTTGAACTACGTGCATCATTCTCGGCGAGATCTGTTCAACCCGCACCTTACGATGCACCCTGGGAGCGGTCCTGTAGACACGGATGGACGATGGGAAAGATGTGCCACTAGGGATTGGCAGTGGGAAATCAGAGACAAAAAGTTGGGACATGCAGTGACGATACAAGGCAGGGGGATTTCATTTAGCTGGGGCTTGTCAATGGCGTCTAATAGTAAGATCGAGCTCCAACTGTGGCTGTCCAGCTAGCAACCACACGTGACTGGATCGCAAACCGTGACAAGTCCGGTCCGAGTTCTCGCACATTGCACAAATACTTTGAGTCACTTCGAAGTTTGCGGCAAGATGATCGCCTTCATTCATCCAAGAGAGTGCATCAAGGTGGGATATCGACGCACTTTCAACATCAGAAGATTTACTAGTAGGAGCCTCAAAATATCACTACATTTTGCCGACTTCATGAAGTAATATGGCAGAGTCTGCCATTCTGCCAATTGCCACAAGGCCAATTCCTTTCTTCCCCCTACACTATGCATACACGAGTACCATCCCACTGATGTAACGAGGCCCAAAGGGTGAGTTATAAAGTGAAAGTGATGCAAAGCAAACTGCTCTTACTTACAGTGTTAAGGCAGCTCATCGAGTGGAGGTCCTGTGTCAAGCAGCATTCAGCAGGCGTGTTGCAAGGCTGTCCCTCTGCCTGGCACGTGGCATCGACGACAAACGTTATAGATGTTGTCAGCACAACAATAACGGTCAGGAAGGTGAAACGCATTGTTTATGCGAAGTGGTATGAACTATTGACGTGCTCAAAAAATCTCTTTGGAGTGAAGTTGACGGTAGTAATATGACCTGTTCTTATACTCGCGAAAACAATATTTTCGTATCTTGGGCAGAATGCTGTTTGGCATCATGATATAGGCAGAACCTATTCATTCCGGTCACCTCGCGAGAAGCTGAGCTAGTGGTTTCTGCCTAGTACTGCCCAGCAAAACTGTTACGGCGTCGTATGTTCAAACCTTTATTTGAAAGCACGGCCCACAATAACTCAGTTCCACAGCTATTCTCATGTCAATGAACAGACTTCGTTTCAATCCATTTACTTCTGGAGCTGGAAAACAGAACCATGCGTCTACTTCGCTTGTTTGCTTGTGCATTTGGGAAACGGAGACGCAGACCTTCTGTCAGGGTACATGTGCGAGGTCGCGGCCTGCGCTATTTAGCACCTTGGGCTTGAGTGTTTATCCTCAAGCTGGTCTAGCGATACGATGGCAGCCGTAAGGTGCCGTACAGATCTTGGTGCTTGTGTTCCTGATGTGGGCCGGCATTCCGATCCAACTAGTGTGTTGATTCTATAGGATTGTCAAAACAAAGCCTCAATCAACCAAGATACCAGAATTCTCGAAAGTCCGGCGAGTCCACCCACCTTGACTCTCACTGTGGGTAGACATGTTGTACCAGGTTGTGTGAAGGTCGCATTTGACCTGTACTATGATATCATTTTCAACATCATCAGGAAAACCCTCCGATACAAAAGTAGACTAAATATGATGAACTTCGCGAATTTTTTTCTAAGTCATCATAGTTTTGCAAAAATAGATAACTTAGCGGATTAGAAAACCTTTTTTACTGCCCCACGAAGTATTACTCCTGAGCGCTAATCTAGAGATAATTATATGTAATTTCAGAAGGCTTTTATTCAAACTTAAAAAACATTATGAAGACTTATCTCGCACTTGACAGTCGTTGTGTTTGACAGTTCATTCAGGATTTTGTTACAACTTTTTACAAGAACAAATTAAGATTCAATTAAATGAGGCTATCTAAACATTATGAAATGCATATGAAACAAGGAACATTTACTCAGTCACATTATAGCAAGACCATGACAACAAAAGAATTGAAAATCCAACCAAAAAGACAGTATGAGTCCAGAAATCTAGAACTACTCAGAGTCATTGTCCATGCCGGCAAGATTGAGAATAGCCATCACATCATTGTGTGAACCTACATCACTGTTGCCATTTGTGCAGAGTTTGCTTATGAGGGGTGGAGCATGACTCCCATGAGTGATATAGTACATAGTATGGGACTGGACTCACCAGATAGCCTCGAAAGTATCAGCCATCACCCTGTGAAACTTGCCTGGCACATCCTGCCTCAATTTCTCAAGAAATTTCACCTGGAACAAGTAGACCTCGCTGAACTTGGATGGAGATCCACTGGACTTCCAGAATAGCACAGCATACACCTATGTATTTGTTGTCAATACATAAGTATGGTGTTGATTACAGATTGAAAATATACTGAAGTAGTAGTCAATGCGACCATCAGAATCGTTACCTCAGGCCACTGGGCTTTGTTGCTTGTGATCTCCTAGAAGCGATCCAAAACCTTTATGCCAACTGGCTTTGGACCATTGAAGTAGTGTCCTTTCATTAATATGGCAAAATGTCAGCAGAGTAAGGCTTGTTTGCCTGTGGAATGGCAACATTTTTATCCTGCGAGCAGTGCGCAACATGAGAATGTTCCATAGCCTAGAGTGCATAATAACCTACATTGAAATGTTGAGTGTAATGATAAACATGGTTCACAAGCAAATTTTTTTTAGCAGCATCGACACAATCAGGACCAAGACAATAATATGCAGTGATGTGTGCGCAAGCATCGTCCTTTAATTTGCTGCGAAAAAGCAGCACTCGAGCCTTAACCTACATGCAAGGATAAAATCATTGTAGACTTTGAAAGCTGTCACTAAGAAGGTGACATACCAGAGTTGCAAGAGCCATACAATATGAGTTGTCAGTTTTAAGATGGGAGGGACACTGCAGGCATGAGATGCTGTTAAAAGTGCATCTCGGGTGAACAGACCTTTATTCAGTAAGCTCCAGATATCCATTGACAAATGTCAGGTGAACCTTGGCCTCTAATATTGCTCTTTGGACCACACAACAGGTGTCGATGTTTTGGTCCATTAACTTGATCTTTCCAGTATCAGTCCGCACAAGTTTGGGTCCTCCAGTAGTGCGATCATGATCATGAACGTGGTTAGCCTGAGCATTGTAATCTACAAAGTTGCCCTTTGAAGAGTTGCAGTGTTCATCTGAGGTTAGTCCACCATGACGGTCCTCTTCTGATGGACTATCATCTGCCCAGATGGGTGTCTACAGTGCATAACATAACATGACACATAGCAATCACAGGGGAACTCCTCACTTACCTCATGTACTCATTTTTTATCACATGCAGAGTGAGGTTTTGGCTTCTGAGGGGCCACCGTTAAGCATGGAGATAGAGAATTGTGATGATGCATGATGAATGAACTTGCCCTAGTAGGAGCTCTTAGGCTTGGTTGAGCAGATGAAAATGGAAATAGTTTGACCATTTGTGACAACTTTGAGGCAGCCATGTTGGTTGCGTCAATGGAAAGTCGAGCTGTTTGGCCTTCGAGACAAATGTTGGTATCTGAGGAGGTTGCAGTCAGTTAGTGCTATGAACAGGAACAACTGGTATTTTATACCTCAGCTGACAACGACTTTACAATACAGTTATCTGACTCATCTTCAATTGGCTCCAGGTCTGCATCAGTGCCAGCATCTGCCTCATCACCACTTAGTTGAAAATCGGAGGCATCCTTGGGCTTATCTGCAAAAAATTCATTGTCGATGGAAGGCATGTTGAATTCTTCCTCAGGCTGGACATCGACATCACTGGATTTTGCATGCAATTCGGGCACTGCTGGTACTATAGGGCCAGTACATGCCAGCATGTCATTATGCTCACCTCTGAGTTGGCGCTTCTTAGTACTACCCCTCACATTGCTAACTTTGCCTTCTATATGTCCCTCACCAATGACTGACCATTTGGATGTTTTATCTTCTGGAATCTTCTGAAATAATGGGTAAAATAGATTGATTGGGTTTATGAAATGATCTGAGCGCTTACACATACCTCAACGTGTTTTAGGTGACACAGAGATTCCTGGGGCACGAGAACCAGCAGTGATGCCTACCATCCCGTGCCCGGTGGAAGATGTGTGATTCTTCTTTTTTGCAGGTGCTCTCTTGGCTGGCTCTTCTGCAGCCTGAGTGGGGCGCTCACATTTTCTTTTTGTAGTATTCCAGACTAGGTGGCAAAGTGCGGTAAGTGCGATACAAGCTTCAGAATAGACCAACTATTTTACTGACCTGCATTTTTTAAAGCTTTTGCCTTTGCATTCCAAACACCTGCAATGTGCATTCATGGCTTTAAGCACAATATCTGAACTCGGACATGGTGAGTAAGTACTCACTCCGGACAGTGTTGCTCATGGTGCAGATTTGGACTTGAATAGTAAATGAAGGTGCAGAAATCTAGTGCGAGGCAATGAGCCCATGGCTGGCACTACATATTTATATATATTAATACCAGCAACTTGGGACTTAGACTAATGTTGTACATGTTCCAAAACAGGGACATATTTTTTGAGTCTTGTTTTGGGTTAGTTCCCCAGGGTGAAGCGTTCAGGCTGATTTGAAATTAACAAGAATTACATATAGTAGAGGTGGTTGGATTTAAGGGCCTTGCGCACCAAGCTCAGGCTCGAGTAAGTACTGAATAAGCTCCTACGACAACAAAACAGCAGTCACAATGAATAGTATGATAAGTAATTAGCACATTATCTAAGAGTCACAAAAGTATGTCTATCAATGTAGCAGTTGACAAAGAAGGTGTGACATTCTTCGAGAACAGCATGACTTGTCCAGTTCCGTGGTGCAACAGCTCCAAACTTTGGGATGAGATGGATACTGCGTACAATATTTGAAATGGGAATGATACTTGCAACTCTCTCCCCAGACTTGATGAAACAACTAATTTTGTACATGCCATGCCTTGGATCCGGCATTACAGGGAATGGAGTAGACCATTCAACATATGCGAGGTGCTTGGGAGGTTGGTGTGTGGGAGGGAATAACAGCTGAGCTGTTGCTGCTGGAATTGAGAAAATGACATGAATTTGACCAACACATACTAGATGTCCACTAGAGTCTGCACATTTTTGGGAAAACATCTATTACTCCACATCGCACAAACATAAAAAATTAATTCTTTGACAGTTTGATAGGCTGACATCAAAAGTATAACACCTGCTAGTTGTTTTTTTTTCAAAACTCGACATGTTGAGTCCAGCGGAGAGTTACCACACAGAAAAGTGCATTTTCCCTAGAGTTTGCGCACTTGGTCACACTATGTCACACATCTGCTGCAATGCCTTTTCACACTCCGCAATGCACCGTTCGTACAGTGTGTGTTGTTGAAGTCGTGCGCTGCGCACTTAGAGGCAATGAAACAATCTGTATGAAGCAGCGAAAGCATGCAATTAATATTATTGAACTGATTATGTGACCGTAAAATATAAAGTATATATCTTGACTAGACTTCGAGTAACTAATGTGAATAATAAGGTGAACTCGGGTGAGTGTGTGCAGGCATATGATAATTGTGATGGGGAATGGTATGATAGTGTGTATTGCTAGGTCCATGATGTAAATTATGCTGGGGAGGGAATGGGTGATGCTGAGGAAGTAAAGTATGTGCAACTTGAATGCCAGAATAAACAGTCGAGGGGGGATCAGGCATTGACAGCACGGAAACATAATGCGGAGTAGTGGACGAGGATGACACTGGTAAGTCCGTCGAACGTTGCAAATCATTGAGTCAACGATGGATTGCAGGCCACTAGACTTGAAGTGACTCTGCTGGTGCAGTGTTTTCATCAACCACAGTTGTATGCATGTGTTTCTGCCCACGAGGGAGACAGCCATAAAGGCCGATGAATTTTTGATCGTCCTTCAGCTGTGGGTGCCCGTCAAGCTGCACTTGAATCAAGGAGACACGTTCAGGATTGTTTCGAGCGCCATCAAGAGAAATTCCCAGAGCTTGTGTGAGTTCGAGAAGATCAGCTTTTGTTTGGTGTGTTACCGGCTTGCTGATCTTCCCAAAGCTTTGCACAGGCCTTCTGGACTTTTTCTTCTTGGGCCTCGCACTGCTGTTTGGACTTGACCATGCACCTGTTGGGGTGGGCTCAGACTTCAATTTGGCATTGGTGTTTTTGTGCCGCATTTTGGCATGGCGGAGTTTCGACTTACACAGTCTCAATGTAACACTTTGGATAGATTGTCATGTCTGGGGCATATTTCTTTTATTGTAGATAATCCTGACAAGCATGTGGCCCCGGAAAAATTTGTTTTAGTATTTCCTCATTGTGTACAATCATTGTACCATATTTCAGAATTTTACATGGTGATCTGACCTTGAGAGTGAGCCTTGTATGCACAAAATAGCCTCCAGTACCAATAAGTTGGCCATCACATGAGATCCACTTCAATTTTTTTCAAACAAAAAACATAGCACTATGTATTATGTTGGGTAGAACCTAGATCCAACATACATAAGGATTCCGTGCAGAATTGCATGTGCTAGAGTCAATGCACGGACTCTTGGGACACACAGACTCATGGGACTATCTAGTAAGCCTGTGATAACATTGTCACTGACTTGAAATAACACAAATTTGACATAACTGTACCTTTAAACCCAATGGCACCAGTACCATCATCAATAAGTGCTGTATCAAAATGTGCTGGTGCCATGTTGTTCACTCAGAGAGCAGTGCGATGTGGTTTAGCATGTATGCTATCCACCATAACAAGTGGGTCACCATGTCCTTGAGCATTGGTCGATGTCCACTTTATCTTGTGATAGATGAGGACAGATTGGCATGGTAGATGGATACCTGCAGCAAGGTTTTCAAGGTGCTGCCGAGTCATAGCATTATCAGGATTCTGTTGTTAAACGATGTACCAAGCAAATGCCTCTCTAAAGTTAGTTGCGCCATAGTCTGTGATCAATTTTTGAATCCATACTGCTTTAGCACTCGGATGCTTGGTTATTTTTTGCATGCAGTTAAAGTGTAGGTCAGGTGGATGTGCTTGACGAGGAGCATGATCTCCATCAAGACACCACTTTATGTACTGCTCATGACAAAAAATCTTTTCCTTCCGCTCCAGCCATTGTGTCATCTGAGTAAATTTGTTCTTGTGATTAGTTGCACTATATGTGTCCTTAGCAAGATCAATATGTAGCCATTCTGTATACTCCATATTGTAGTTGTCTGTCATTCCAAAAATCTGAATCATAGATCCATGATGACACACTGCATGAAGCTTTGGAAGGTTGAAGTTGTTCTGGATTCCAAGGTCAACTTGTCATGAAAGAGAGTGAGAGCTTTGTCCAATAAGAGTAATATTTTAGAGCTATGGCATGGGTACTGCGTGAGGTAAAGAAAGTCGAGAAGCCCATGTACAGCTTTTAGGGGGTGAGATGAAGCAAGATTTTCAGGAAGTCGGATGTCAATGATGATGCCAAGGAGGAAGCAACATATTTGACTATGCTCAGTGCCACTGAGGCGAGTGAGACTGGTGATACCCTTCATGAACAATTGAACATGGTGATTTGGAGGCAACCAACAACATTGTGCATTAACCTCTGCTGCTCTACATGCTTGTGCCAGCCATCCAAGTAAATGTTTGATAAGACCTTGATATAGCTGATGTAGTACGTCAGGTGTGATTGCCTGATAGATATTTGTGTAAGGCAGGTCCTCCCAGAACGGGTGGATAATCAGTTTGATTGCAGCTGCATGACATGCCTGTACAAATGCCAAATCACCTTCATCAATCATGGCAAGAGCATCCAACACAGTGTGAAGATCATGTATATTAAATGGTGCCATATTGCTTTCAAATTTGTCAGTGGGGATATCGCACTTGGGGCACTCCATTGCTTTTACCCCAGTAGCAAGTAATTGCTCAAGATAGTTGCTAACAAAACATGCGAACAAAGGATGACAACGACAACATACACCATCACCACTGCTCATCACAAGCCCATCATTACCAGCAGTGTTGAGAGGGGCCAGTATATGACTCATACATGCATGGTAGAGGTTTGTGATGGTATGATGTCTTGAGGCTTTATTGGTGATATGTTCAAGGTGGGTAGTTGGTAGATACACTAGGAGGATATGAGCACGACACAATGGTTTTTGGCGAATTTCTTTTGAGATGTTACTGATGGTGAGGTAGACAGAGTATGCAGATTTATTTCAGAATAATGTAACCTGCATTTTGTCGCTTGATATGATAATAGGGATAATTGTAGCACCTAAACATCACTGATCAAGCACTTTCTTAAAATTTTATATCAATACTGTAAGGCCAGCATTAAGTTTATAATACTGTGCTTACCTACATATCCCACCACCACTTGCTGGTGTGCATATCATGGAATAACTATATAGTCTGATCTTTATCGGCATAGTGACGCTCTGGTGAAAACACAAGAAAATCAGCAAAGTCAGGGTCACTATACAAAGCTTTGATGTATTCAATGATGTCTCTGTAAAAGACATCAAATGCTTCACCAGTGACAATAATTTGTTCATGCAAGAACTTTGGTCGACCAGGGAGGTCCTTGTCGATTATCTTATTTAACTCTTTTGAATTCTTGTATGAAAGGCCAAAGTATTCGCTAAGCTAAATATATTTGCACTGGTACGTACCCCATCAATTTCGAGCAAGTCAGTGAGAGCTGTTGAACTTGCACTGTGTAGCTTCACCCATTTAGCAATGTCCCAGTCTATCTGGGAGGCAAAGGGAGCATACACATTGGCAGTGCTGCCAGCATCAATACCATATGCAGTATTTGCACCATGTGTAGGCTGTCCAGATATCAGTTTGCCTGCCCAGGCATCTGGATATGGAACAATACCAAAACTCTCCTTGTCTTGCATGACATGTTGCTCTATCTGTGGACAAACTTCTTGATCATCTAACAGTACTTCAGCATCAGCATCATCATCATTGTTACCTTGTTTGGCAGGCTTACATCTCTGATCATGGCCAGTGTCTGGTATAGGAGGCTCCCATTCTTCATCGCAAGTGCCCTCTTCCTCATCACTGAAATCATTCTTATCATCTGACCACTCTAGATCACCTTCCTCGTATGTACTGAAAAAATTGCCCTCAAAAACAGGGCCTTGATTAACCTCCTCTATAGGAATCAGTAATGATGGTGGGTGTACAGGTGTGGGACTTTTCTGGGCATTGGTATACCCACGGGAAGCAGCAAGGACAGCCATGCAAGGTGGTTGTCTAGTCTTGGCTAAATGCTGGCTATATCCTGTAGCTGAAAAAAATTCAAGACATCCAGGGCAGCTGACCATTTTGTCTGCAGTGCTTTCAGTGGTCCGTGTGTTAATATCACTCCTTTCAAGTGGGTATTTCTCATTAAATTATTTTGAGGCTCTGCTGATATGAATATCCCATAATAGTAACACCTGAGCTCCAGTCTCCCAGCTAATCTTCTCTCCACATATATGTAGGATGTCTGTTTTAAACTTACTCTGTTCTTCATTCCGTCTACAACCCAGCAGCCCTCTCTTGTCCTCTGACTTAAGCAGTTTTCCAATGTCGTCTTCTCCTGACTCTTCGAGTATGTCTGAGACAACTCTCTGTAACTCTAGTCTCAGAACAGGTTTCTCTCCTGGCAAGATGGACACAGACCTACATACCTCCCCTCTGAGTCCAAGTCCTATCCCACATAGCCCTTCTGATGACATAGGCAGTTTATTCTTAATACCTGGCTCTTCTCCCCTACCTGCTTGTATAGGTCGACATGAATCCATGCACAATAAAAGCCCTAGAAAGTATCATCCAACATACAATAGTTAAGCGGGAGTAAGCCCCCCGCAAAAAGGGCTATGTCTGACATAGGGTCTATGACCCCAAAGGACAATAATATATATATATATATATTTAAAAAAAATATCATCCATACCTGCCTGGTCCAACTCTGTTGGAGCTCTGTTATTCAGCTCGGTTTATGGGCCAAGGGTCCAACTAGAATTTTTATTAGAAGCAATCCACAAGGTATGCTATTATTAGAACTTTCATACACTCATAACTCATGTTTTCAGCTTGATAAACAGCTAGAGGGTGGTCTCTCACAAATGAAATCTTCTACACTATACAAAGGATACAAATCTCAGCTTGCAACCCATGAGGCTGCACATCAATGTGTCCTGCTAACAACATGGGAGATCGAAGCAGTTGAGCATCAACATACATTCCTCACTGCCATTCATGCTGAACATGTAGAGCAGTTTGGAGGAGCAGAGAAAGAGTTGCAATGCTACACAAGGATCTTTTCTCAGTGTAGCCTTGCAAACACTGCTGAGGACAAGGACTATATCCAAGCCATCTATGAAGATGAATGCCAAGCCCTTCATGTCATCAATGCCCAGGCTGACCAGGTTGTGAAGCTCCTGAGTAAGCGAATCAAAGATACTTTCTTGGCACACAGCGGAGGATTTCTGCTGTACCCTAGTGGAATTCCCTGCTTTGGTGAGGTCGATGATAGGGGACCTACAGATACAGATGACTCAGATGGATCGGATGATGGGATATGCATGTCGGATCCAAACCTCAATGATTTGGGTAGAGATTTAGGCCATGAAGAGTTAGATGGCTGAAGAAAGTTTGCTCCATGTGGTATGTGAAATCCTTGTATATGTTTAGTTTTACTACACTGATAAACCCAAGCAGATACAATTTGTTTCTTCCCTCCATGCCGGACCATGAAGCCCTTCTTGAAATCCTCGTGTTATGATCAATGAATTTGATTATTGACTGTAATTCAAACTCTCAACTATTAAACTTCACATTTTGCCTATAGTAGCTACACGTGTTGTACTAGGGACTTTTGCCATGTATCACTTTTCCGTCGACTACCACCACCCACTGGCCAGTCCTCTGAGTTCAGAATGAATGTTTGATTTCACACTGATCTATGGCTGTTACATGCCTGCATCCCATTGATGTGCCTATATTTATTGACGTCCCAAATTTGTTGATGTCCTAAATTTGTTGATGTCCCAAATTTGTCGACATCCCACATTTGCTCCCATATTTTAAAACCTCTGCTCAAGTGCATGCCCAAACTTGATCCGTTCACATAATTCAGTTTTCACCCCAATAGTTGTTCTCCTTCTATCACTTTATGTGACCACTGTTGACCATTGATTAGCTGATTTGGTTTGAAATAGTATCATCACAATCATGTATCGTGACATGTGGTAAGTATGAATAATCACCATTCAATTCAGTTTTCGATTTCACAGATAGGCTAACAATCTGCAGTTCCTATTACATCTTCTGCACAATACTAATTGCCTGCCTCGAGGAGCACATGATTTATTGGTTTGTGCAAGTTTGTTTTGTTAGTACTACTTCTTGTGCTCGCGCTTATTCTGCTCTCAGTAACCTCCACCTTCCCCTTGCTTTGTACTTTCAGCATTATATGCAGCCGTTGGAAGACCAGTTGGATTCAGGGCCCCCAATTTCATATCATGATGGAGTCGCAAGAGCTGATTTTTGCACTGGTGGTTAGTCCTTCAGCCAATGTCATCTACTAGGTCACTGACCAATCAAACAGGGTCTCATTATGATGATCCACTACAGGAATTTCTCAATGTAACTGAACCATCAGACTACCCTCATGCACCAGGTATGTCACTGCTTGCTATTGCATTTTCAGCTGCTAACTTAAAAATCACTCCCAGACCCTGGGCAATCGTCTAGCTCCAGTGGACCATCTACTGGTGATGCCAGTAGCAGTGTTCATCTACTTCCTCAATTACAGGAATTCAATGTCTTTTATCCCTTACCATTTCCCCAGTCACTTGCAGGACCATCTCGTCCTGAGAGATTCCTGTGCAGTCGACCATCCTCCTCTGTACCCTATTTCATACCTGAACCAAGAGCTATGATGCACCATCAACCACCACCTCCTGCAACAAGTCCCTGTAATACTTCACAGCTGGTGATGATGACCACAGCTGCTGTCACACTGTGACCTGCTAATGACTCCATTGTTCCTGCCATTGTCACCCCACACCCTACCATCATCTCTGTCACCCCTATCATCATCTCTGTCACCCCTACCATAATCTCTGTCACCCCTACCATCCAGCAACCTCCAGTTATCATTAATGTCTCCTGTCAGATCAAGAAGCAAATCATAGATCGTGCAAAACAAAAAATCCCATGGTTTCTTCTCACATCATCTGCAATGGCCGCCACTGATATTGAGAAGACCCAACTAGTTTCTCAAGTGATTTCAGAGTCAACCCCAGCTATCCCTGGTATGAGCAGTGAGTCTTCACCTATAGATGTTGTCAAATTGATTTCTAACTTGATTGATTTCTTAGTTACAGTATGCGTGTCAGACAATCAATGCCAGCAGGTGATGGCTGCGTGGACTGCCACCTTCAAGAAGCTCCTGAACATCATGTGGACTTGCCTTACTGTCGGTTATACCATCTATCTGCCAATTGACTCTAGTTTGACACCAGAACAATTCTGCTGTCATGTAATTTCTGCATTGATTGACAATGTTCTTAACCCTCTCGCATTTATGCACAAATATACAGTCGATGCCATATGTTCAATTTTCTTTTTATATTTTATTAATTGATCTTGTTTTTTAGAACGGAAATGTAACGATATTGGATGGCGTCCTTGACCATCCCTTCATCCTCAATATTGTTATTCACATCATATGGTGTAGCGACCTTGGCCTTGCCAAATTCATTGACAATCCACAAGAACAACTCAATTACACTATTGCTGTTGCTGGTGCCATTACCAAGTTGGTGTTGCGCAAACAACTAGGGAACTGCACAGGTACAGGTAACCTGCACGGGTCACGGGTATGGGTACCACTGGGGTACGGGTACAGGTCTGAGGTCATGATACCCCTACCCCTACCTGTACCTGCGCTGTGGGTATCAGTCACAATGGGCGCCAAACGGATGCCAAACAGGTGCTAGTAAAATTCAACTATGTAAATACAAAACTATACAGCTGCCAACTGTCAAACTCTAAAGACAAATATAAGACAGGTCTCACACATATCAGATCTCCATGGGTAAGTTCTATTCAATCTAGGTTTTTTCTAGTTTCTACTGACAGTTAATATCCTTATACTAGTGTTACATCCCCAACACAAGCTATTATACTTCAAGGCAGCAGACTGGGAAGACAACTGGATCCAAACTGCAGAGCAACTTGTGCGCGAGGAATTCAAACATTCATACCTGTCCCTTGATGCCGACTCTGATTTGGAGTGTGAGGCGGATGTCTTGGAGTCAAATGGTAATATATTGATGGTATTTTTCTTTTTTGCTTTTTACTCAGCATTTGTACTGACTCAATCTTAGAGTGACAACATTTTTGACAACCTCCCCACACTTGCAGTCCCCAAACCTACTAACTCGGGCTCCAAACTCGACTGTTACCTTAGTACGGACGTGGAACATGTCACCAACCCTATCGCTTGGTGGCAAGAATGTCACAAATCATTCCCCCACCTGTCGTGCATGGCCATTGATTATCTAACTATCCCTGGTATGTGGCATTATTATGTTTAATGCCTTGTAAGCTTATATTGCCTATAGCTACTTCTGTAGACGTTGAACGTCTCTTCAGTCGTGGGCATCTTGTCCTGTCACATGTCAGAAATCGTTTATCGGTGCAGTTGACACATGTGCTGCTTTGTATCAGCTTATGGAACGAGTTAGGCCTGGTCAAATCTGAGGATATCATTCATGTGTCTAAGCTCCCAGATGTCATTGGTGAAGAGGAAGCAATGAATGAGGGTTGGGACAGAGTCCAAGTAGATTAGTATTACATTTGTTGTTACAATTTATTACAATGCTCTTCGTAGTGACCCACAGGTAATACCCCAGGTCCGTTTGGCTGATACCCGCAAGCAAACCCATACCCGCACCACGGGTATGGGTATATCTCCGGGTATGGGTACAGGTCCAACTGCGCACACCCACAGGTTTACCCGTGCAGTTCCCTATGAACAACTGTCTCATCCACCAGTCATCCTTCTGTTCACGCAGCTTGATGGGAAGGATGATTTCGATGGTATTGTCCATCACATTGGTAATCTCAGCAATGTGCAGAAGGTAATGTTTCGTAATTACAAATCTTACATTGCAATTGTTGGGAGATCGCAGCAGTGATCTACCAGTGTGTTAGCTCAATTGGACTTTGTGATAAACCCAGCACTAGACTTCTAGCAGATACCATACATACTTAGAATTGTAGTCAATTTCATGATGCACCATGTATGTCTTACTTGAACTTTGCACGTTCTCAAAGCAGCACCCCAACTCAGCAAAGGCAATGACAGTCGTGAGTTCAGCAAACATGTCGGAGATGTTTTATGAGCATCATAATGGTCACGTGTTATAATGTACCTTTAAATTATTTTGACCTGATTTCAATCTCATTACGATGCCTTCATAATGGTCACATGTTACAATGTACCTTGGAATTATTTTGACCTGATTTTGAGCTCATTACGATGCCCGTAGGCAGAGTTTCAATGTCATTCTGATGCAACTGATGCTCATCAATTATGCCTTTAAAAATAGACCATCACCATCAACTCGCTCCTTACTCGTCTTCTACTCGTCTTCTATCGTCATCAAAACACACCGATGCCTAAGTCAAAACAACGCACATCAGACCTCGTGACGTGCGATTGATGTGGAGCAGTTGTTCGCGCATGTGGATTAGTATCCCATACGAAGTCTTGCGCAAAGAAAGAACAGGAGCGGCTAGAAGACGAGGAGTTCGCTGATATAGTTCGGAAAGCTGAAAAGAAAGGTCAGTGGTCAATTCACTCATCTGATGCGCTTGATATTTTATAGTTGATAATTGTTTTACAGAACTTAGAAGGCAGTGTCGTAAAGTGCACAATAACTTACAATGTTTTGAGAACACACTGTCAGCTGCTACAGGTGAGCGGTTATGTTTTGATTATGTTTCTGCTCTTTTAATGTTTCTCATTGTAATATAGTGAATGCCACCGCGATCTGGGCAACAGAATCAGACATAGGTAATTCAAAACATTTTGATTGATATCATCCTTAAACTGATTAAAACACAGTGCCAGATCATCAAGGGTCATCACCTTCACGGTACCCACCAATGGACCATGACACAACATTACCCAACTTCAATGAGCCTGATTCTGGTCCCATCGACAACGAGCCTGATCCTGGTCCCAGCGAGCCCACTCACCAGCTCGATGACATCCAAGTTGAATATCATCCCCATAGCCAACTCCCTCCCAGTGTACATCATTTCTCTGAGTTCTCCCGCAGCCGCCCAACGGAAGCTTATGTGCCCCATAACAACTCACCATGGGAACCCTTCCACACACGACTCAATTTTGATATTTTGAGATTGCTCCTGAAGCTGCGATGACAAAGGAACAGACTAATCGTCTTCTCAGTCTCATACACCAATCTGCTAGCGGCAAAGATGCATTCACGTTGCAAAATCATGATGAAGTCCGTTCCCTCTGGGATCTAGCTTCGCAATGCTATACCAGAGTAAGCATTGTCTCATGTACTACTACTAACAATATAATAAACTTATCATTAGTGCATAGTTTCAGTGTGACAATGTATCTGTTCCCTTCGAAAAAGAGGTATATGAGTTTGACATGCACTACCGCCCTCTTTGGGACTGGGCGCTTGACTTGTTGCAAGACAGACATCTCGCACCTCACTTTGTGTTTGATGCTCAACGTCTCTCAAAATTTGATGGAGAAAAGTTTGTACGTTTCATCAATGAACCATGGACTGCCGATGCATTTTGGAATGTGCAAGTATGTTCCAATGCTTTATTTGTTATCTATCCTTTTAAATTAATGATATCCCTCCGAATGTTTGTAACTTAGTCACACCTTCCCCCGGATGCCAAACCATTGGCGTTCATCCTGTACGCAGACAAAAATAAACTATCATCATTTGGGAGTCAAAGGCTATCCGATTATCGCTCACATTGCGAACCTTCTGGTTCATATTCGTAACAGTAACACTACAGTAGGAGGCGGCCGTGTTGTTGGTTGGCTGCCCATTGTCGGTGCATCACACTGATTCAGTTAGTGGTATTACTAATTGTATTGATTAAGATCGGCGAAAATCAGGAACACACGAAGAAGAAGAAGTACGTGGACTTCAAAAATGCTGTCTGACATGCATCAGTTTTACCAGCTGCTCGCTTCGGTTGCGAAGCACTCAAACACAGGCTTTTGGTTTGAATGCAGAGACGAAATCCAATGATGTCTCTGGCCCCTGGTTTTGATCTTGAGTGCCGATTATGAAGAACAGTAAGTCACAATATTGGTTCTAGTACTACTCTACTGCGAGGCTCATTAAAATCGTAGATGCGTCATGGCGTTGATACGGGGACTTAAGGGGAAATTCCTGTGTCCAATTTGTTTGGTTCCACAAGATCAACAGTCTGTTCTCAGTACCTACGAGCTACGCACAAGCCGCCAATCTGAAGACATACTTCGTACTGCAAGATCCATGCCTTCTGAGAAGGAAAAGGAGGATCATTTGAAGGCCTTCTCGCTCCGAAATGTTCAGGTATGCCCTTTCCACTTTGTTATCTATTAATACTGACAAACTCGCTGATTCAAGAACGTCTTCTTGAGAATTCTTTACACAGACGTTCATCACGCTCTTTCTTTCGACCGCTTGCATACAAACGAGGAAGGATTATGGGGTGACCATCTGTGGAAGGAGACAAAATTTTGGATTTTGGATCTTGGGCGGGAAGCCACTGTCAAACTCAAGCAAAAGTATGTATTGTGACTATAATACATTAATGCTAGTGCTGACTCACTTCTCAGTTTTGACGCACTTCCACGATGGCCTAATCTGACACATTTTTCATCTGTCATGGCAGTGGATTTCACTGATGGTACTGTTCTCAGGGATCTGTCAAAGGTTTGTCTATACATCATACACGATTTTAGGTACTAAAATAACTTAGATAATTATCTTTGCAGCACAGGATATTCTTTCTTCGTCCCACTGCAAACTGGGACACTTACTTCTTTGCTGCATTCACTACTACATTGAGTTCGATGTCTATGCCTCATTCGAAGTCCACACGGAAGAGACAATTACAGCTGGAAGGTTGGCGCTGCAAAAGTTCTCAGAAATTATGGATGTAAGTTGCTATTTGTTCAGATGATGACTGTCTGACATTTTACTAGGAATACATTACTGAATCGCAGCCTGAAACGATGAAGAATTGGAATTTTCCAAAGAAGCATTTAATCTTGCACGTATTCAATGATATTTTGGCCAAAGGCGTGACCCGCAACTACAGTACCAAGCCCAATGAAAAAATGCACGGCTCTCTTCGAAAAATCTACCTTCAACGCCCAAATTTCAAGAATGTTGCTTCTCAGGTGAGTCACTTCTAACTATATTGTCATGTGGATTCAGCCTAATGATAGCTTTATTGTTGCAGATCCTTCGCTATGATGAATGGCTTCTGACCTTGATGTCTATGCGCATCGAACTTGATGAACTTGACAAGTATAATCAAGGAGACACTCTCGACCCCAAGACCAATGAAACTCTGCCTGATGCTGGAAACCCCAAATCTACTACTGTCCATGCACATTTAGGTTCGAGGCAAGGCAATTACTCCTTTTCCGATATCATGCACTCGCATGGAACTGATAGGGCCTTCACCGACTTTCGGATGAAGCTTAACGGCTTCCTGAACGGTTTTCTACCACTAAATGATATTCCATTACCAGATGGAAGGCGCATTCACCTGCGTGCGGAGGATGTGGTATGCTAATTTCCTTCAATTCAATTGATAAGACTGATACTTTTTTACCAGGTAACGGAGTTTCAGTTTTTGCACATTCATTATGAATCACTAGTCGACTGGCGCATGCACCGAGACTTACTTCGGTGCAACCCGAAGTTCTATGGATCGCCAAGGTACGACTGTGTCTTGGTG